CAGGCATGACTGCCTAGCGCGCCTCCGGCCTTCCTCGCCGGTGCTTGTGCGCTCACAGGGCGGCTCCGCCGCGGCGGCTCCGAGAGTGCACGGCGCTGGCTGCTCCTGTCCCGTCCAGCGCAGGGGTCTGCATCCTCCCATCAGCACCGGCGCCAGAGGTCGCGGCTCCCGCTCAGCGCAGGCGGGCGGCTCCCGGGCCCCCGGGGCGGTCTCCTCCCCCTCCGCTCTTGCTGCCCGTGGGTGACGCTTCTGGTCTCCTCCTGGCCTCGGGCGTCTAGGAAAGCGCGCCAAGGAGCGGTCACGCTCATCGCCAGAGCGTCTCCACACGCCTGGAGGTGCGGGAGTGGAGCCGTGTCGGGCCGCCCCCGGGAGTCCTGCCCTCGCCCCGGCCTGGGCGCCGCCGGCCCGCCCGCATCTGCCACCCTCGCGTCCCCAGCCGTGTGCGGTGCCATCCTGTGCGCCCGCTCGGTGACCCCGGCCCTAGGGGCCCGCGGGCTTGCCCTGGCGCATCTCGCGGCGGTGCTTGTCCGGGGCTCTTCGGCCCTCCCCGGGCACGGCCCCGCGACTCCGCACCCCTCGTCCCGAGCCCGCCGTGGATGTCGGGACACGGGCCGTGCACCCGCGGAGTCTTCAGCTGCCCTGCGTGCCGCTCGCTGTCCCGTCGCGGCGCCCCTCGCGGGTCTCCCCTCCTTCCCGGCGGGCTGCGCGCAGCCCCCCACCCTGCTTGCAGGGGTCCTGCCCGCGCCTCCCTCCCGTGGGCCCTGCCTGCGCCCGCCCTCCTGGGCTCTGGGCGCCCCGGGCCGGGACGCGGGCCTGGACCCCAGCGGCAGGACAACCGGCAGGTCACGGTGGGCGACCAGGAGAGCGGCCTGAGCGCCGGACGCCTTTGTGCTACCCGGGGCCGTGGCCGGTGGGTGAGAAAGGAGAGGCGCAGGCCAGCGCCGGGACAGGGCCCCTGACGGTCCCGTGAAGAGGACCACTGCCTCCCCTGGCCCACAAAGGGCTTTTTATTTCTTTCACAAGGGAGCGGGAGCCCCGCCGCGGAGGAGGGCGCGGGGCTGACCTGAAAGCCCGGGAGCTGCAGCTGGGGGAGGCGGGGCCGCGTTGTGCCGCCCTCCGGGTTGGCAGCGCTCAGGGACTCTCCAGGGTGCTCCCGGGCCAGCGAGGACGGCCAATTTGCAGAGAGCGGGCGGCCACGGTGCGGGCAGGCGGGTGGGTTGGGGCCGCGGGGCGACGGAGGGGCCATCTGAGGGGGGCCTGGGAGACGGCGTCTGCCCCCGGGACTGGGGTCCCAGCCGGCGCTGCCTCCCGCCCGCCTCCCTTCCTGTGCCTCGCGAGGCCCCTCGGTGTTGGGGCTGGTGTTTCAGCCTGAAGTGAACAGCCTGCCCCTCCCTCCCTCCCGCCACGAGGGGACACAATGCCCGTCCTGCCGTCCACCCTCGTGGCCTCAGTGAAAGCGCACAGTGGAATCTTCCAGATTCTGTGTCTGGCCGGTTTTATCCTTTATGCCCTCAGAGGTCTGTGATTGATTTTGCTAAAAATAACTTCTCTCTGGTGCCGGCAGGCAACTCCGAGCAGCCCCTGGGGGCGCAGGGCCATGGGAGACCCTCGCTGGTGTGGGGAGCACCCCCCCCCCAGGTGACTGAGACACAGGCTGGCTCTGAGCTGGGCCTGGGCAGCCCGCGGGGCGGGGGGCTTAGACTTTCTGCCCGAAGAAGCTTCTTGAGCTGCAACATCAGGGTGTGGTGTGAGTTGGGTGGAGGCGAAAACCGACCCGGCGTGGAGACACCCGAGGAAGGGCCCCACATCCAGCAGCCTCTTGCGTGCCACAGGGAAGGTGCTTTCCTGGGCTGCGGCCGCGCCTGGCCGCGCTTGTGGGGCCCTGGCGGGCTGAGCCGCCACCCCAGCCCCGGAGCTTCAGTGCACAGGGCTGCGGCGTCTGCGGCTCCAGGGCCGAGACCCAAGCTGAGCCGGAGGGGAACCCGGGTCAGCCCCAGCGGGACGCGCTGCGGGGGCCGCCGGAGCCCACAGACACTACAGGAGCAGGGCCTGGGCCCCGCCATCCTTCCGAGGCCCCGTGCGCAGACGCCGCCCGGCCCCAGCCTCCCCCACCTGCTCGGGCCAAGGGTGCCCAGCGTCTGCCCCGCCCCTCCAGGCGCTGGGCTGGAGGAGTCTCGGCCACGCCGGGGCGGCCCCTGCTCGTCTGAGTGCGTCATTCCCCCCGGGCCTCGCGCCAGCCTCTCCCCAACAACAGCCGTCCCTTCATTCCCACCAAGGGCCCGAGCGGCCCGCAGAGGGCCTGACCGCGTCACGGGGGCCCGTGCCCCCTCTGACGGCCGCGCATTCAGAGGAGCGCGGGGCTGGCGGCTGCCGCGAGGAGCTCGTCCTGCTGGGCTGCCGTTCCCGCCGGCTGAATCCCCCTTTGTGCCCTGCTGACGTCAGCGCTGCTCCCGGGGCACGGCCTGGCCGCGGCTCCCAGGCCGCCCAGCGCTCCCCGGGGCCTGTGCTGGTGGGCTGCGTGCTTTCAGCGGGGCGGCCGCCACTTACATCGGGCCCTTTGCGTCAGATGCCCCCGCGGCTTCTGCCCGGGGCCCCTGGTGTTTCAGCAGCTTCGGCTGGGAAGTGGCGGGGGTCGCGGTGGGCGCCCGCCTGGTGAGCTGGCGTGCGGGTGCGCGGGGCCCTGCCGCCTGCTGGGCGCCTGGGAGTGCAGCCCTTCTTGGGGACCCTCTCTGCTCCCCGCACACGCCCCGTGTGCGGAGGGTGGACATGGCTGCGGCTGCTGTGGCCAGAGCGAAGAGCCGGTCATGCTCTCTGCCTGCTTTGTTTCTGCTGAGCTGGAAGTGACAGACGCGGGCTCCCTGCCCACCTGACGAGTGGGCATGGGGGCGAGGCTGCTACAGAACGTGGGCGCCCCGTTGGCCTCAGCACCCGCCTCCCCTCTCCCTGGACACCCCATCTCTCAGCAGACTCGACTCACTGACGGGGCCTCGCCTGGGAGGAGGCTGTGGGTGGCATCCCTGGAACTCCCAGGATGGCACGTCGCAAATGGACCTGGGTGGGTGCTAGAGCGCAGCCTGCCCAGGGTTGGCCTGGCCACCTGAGCTGCTGGTCAGCCTGCCGTGTCCGGCCACTGCCCTGGGCCTACCCACAGCCACCACTACAGGTGGTCAGCGCCAGCCCCCCACTGTCAGCCCAGGCCCTGTCTAGCGTCCCCCTGAGCCCCCACCTAGACCCGGGCCTCTGGGGCACTCACGCTGCACCCCCTGTCCCAGGGCATGGGCCGTGGGGCCCTCCCACCTCCATCAGCCCCACACCCGCTGCAGCTGGACCGGGAGCTGCCCCACACCTGTGGTGGGTGTGCCCCTGCAGAGTAGGTTCATGGTCATTCAGAGGTGGCAGCAACTAGGTGTCTCTGGGCCTGGCCCCTCGGGGCCAGGAGCAGGAGGTGCTGAAAGGAGTGGGCTTTGTGGCCAGAGACCCCGGACCTTGGTGCCCTGCAGGACTGGGCCCGCCGGGCCCCCGCAGTGCAGGCAGCAGTTTTGGGTTCTCGCGCTGGTGCCTTCGCTGAGCCGTCGCTGCCGGACAGACAGGCAGCTGGCCGGGCCTGTGCGCACCAGCACCACGCTGACCCCTGGCAGAGCCCACCGGGCCTGGCGCCTGTGGGCCCAGGACAGGCAGGCTGCAAGGACCCGGCCCGCAGGGGGAGGTTTTGTGGCACTCGGCCAGCCCCGCCCAGGAGGTACCCGGGGACCCACGGCCCTGTCCCTGCCCTCCGCGACCTGCCCGGCTTGTCTGCCTTAAAATGCCCCTCAATCCTCCAAACGCCAAGTCCAGGACAGTCACAGGCTGAGAGCAGGGGCGGGCAGAGCCGAGCCGGGCCGCGCTGCCTTTTGTGATGAAGCGAGCCCGGGCCTGGCGCTGTGGACTTCACCATCCCGGGCACGGCCGCCGCACAGGGCTTCCTGGGGTGTCAGACCTATGCACCTCCTGGCGTGGCCCCCCCGGACGCGCAACCGGAGGAGGGTGCGTTTGACAAGTCAGGGGTGGCGCCTCCTGCTTTTGGGGAGAGACGAGAGGTCAGGCGCCGCTGGGTGCTGCTGCCGGCTCTCAGAGCAGGAGGGTTTGAACTGCAGACGAGCAAATACCGAGGCTTCCCCGTGCCCCGGCCGATCTCCCCCACCGAGGCCTCACGCTCCTGGTCACAGCTGCGCGCCGGTGTCGGTAGGTACCCAGGCCAGTGTCCGTGGGCCCCTGGGGCGCGGCGGCGATTCTGCCTCGAACCAGGCACCCCCCCGCACCAGCCACGCCAGCCGTGGGTGCCCTGACCCCGAGCCCCACGCCCACCCCGGGCAGGCATGCCCCTGGGGACGCCTGGGCAGGTGGGGCTCTCGGGAGGGGGTGCAGCGGAAGGCAGGCTGCCCCTACTCAGCTCTTGAGGGCCCTGGCAGAGCCCCGGGATGGTGTGTTTGGGGAACTGGCGGGGCGGGGGTGGTGTCCTGGTGCTCGGGCTGTCTCTAGCTGCACCTCTGGTGCCTCCCCCGTGTCTGCGGCCGGGAAGGGGCGTGGCTCTGGGCCAGCAGGTGCTGTGTGGGCTTCGCAGCGTGGGCTCGCGGCCTCTGGGTCCACTGTCCTGCGGGGCCCAGCCGCGCCGCCCCGCGGCTCTCGCACTCAGTCCTCGTCAGCTTGGCGTCCTCGTCAGCCTCGTCAGCCTCCCCCAGCCCAGGTCCCCCAGGCGCCTCGGTCTCTCCCCCTCGCCAGCTTTCCCCAGTGCTCTGCGGAGGCCAGGGGGCTCAGGCCTGTGAGCACATGGGGCCTCCTGGGGGGCGGGGACCAGCCCCCGGACCCCCCGACCTTCTGCGTCTCATCCTTGAGGAGAGGAGCCTCTCACGCCCGGGTCGCGCCCCTGACCTGTCAGCAGAGCGGGGCCCCGGCGTCTGAACTGCGCAGACTCGTGCCACGCAGGCCGCGGTGACCCCGTCTGTGCTGTGCTCTCTCTGCAGTGGACGTGGCCTCGGCGCTGCCGCTGCAGGTGGCCCCCCCGGCCGTGCCCATGGACCTCCGCCTGGACCACCAGTTCCCGCTGCCTGTGGCGGAGCCCGGCCTGCGGGGGCAGCAGCTGCAGCAGGAGCTCCTGGCGCTCAAGCAGAAGCAGCAGCTGCAGCGGCAAATCCTCATCGCCGAGTTCCAGCGGCAGCACGAGCAGCTGTCGCGGCAGCACGAGGCCCAGCTGCACGAGCACATCAAGGTGAGCACCGCCCGCCTCGCCCGGGCCGGGGCTGGACCCTCGGGGCAGGGTCCCGGGCCGGTCACCCCACCATGGCACCAGGGGCCAGAGTTGGGGCACCCCTCTTGATGATACCGGGGGCCAGAGCTGGGGATCCCCCTCAGTGGTACTGAGGTCGAGCTGAGGGGTCTCCTGGGGGGTGCTGGGGGCCACAGCTGGGGCAGCTCCCTTAGTGGTACTGAGGTCCAAAGCTGAGGGGTCTCCGTGGGGGTACTGGGGCCCAGAGGTGGGAGATCCCCCTCGGTGGTACCAGGTCCAGAGCTAGGGCACCCCCTTGGTCACACTGGGGTCCTAGGCTGGGACACCCCTCCACTGGGGACACTCACATGAGGCCCTGGACTCCTGAGGTCCGGCAGCAGCCGCGGTGGACGGCCCGGCACAGGGGCGGTGCGTCTGCGGGAGAAGCGCGTCTCCGGGTAGATGCACGCACAGGAGGCCGCGACAGCGGGACACCCGGGCCTGTCCGAGACGCCACCGCTCCTGGCTGGGGACGCTGCTCAGCCTCCCACCGGCCTTTTAAAATCAGAGCCATGTCAGGGCTTTGTTTACGTTGAGATGGAACAAGAGAGAAGGAACATAGGTTTTTTTTTTTAGTACTTGCTCTCTGCAAACACCTGATGGTCGGATTGGGCTGGAGAGTGGCCCGTGGGCGGGTGGGTGGTGTCGCGGCTGCGCCGTGGGCCTGGCTCTGGGTCCGAGGCCGCGGGCTGGCGTTGCCGTGACCCCCAGAGGCAGCTGTCAAGCCCAGCCCTCTGCTTCCCGGAGTGCACGGGCCGCCGGTGCCTCCAGCCGCGGGAGACTGGGCCTTTCTCCCTGCCGTGCCTGGCTCCTCCGGACCCGCGGCTACCACCGGGCCGGGCTTCCCCCTGTCACCCCCGCGGGGCGCGTGCACACCACAGCCCTGTGAAGCGCTGGGGCCGCTGTGGCCCTCTGAGGGCAGGCCCGGCAGAGGACAGGCGGCTGTGGGTCTCTCCACGCACAGTTGCGAGAGCAGCCAGGTTCTGGGGCAGCGACATTGGGGTTTATGTAACAAACGGGGAGCCCAGGGAGACCGAGGCCCCGAGTGGCCGGCTGCCTCACCCAGATGGAGTCCACGCGGTATGCAGAGTCCCAAGCGAAAGCCGCTGCTCCAGAGGGCACCCGTGGGCCGGAGCGCATGGCAGCCAGAGGGGCTGGCCAGGGCAGGCAAACCCCCATGCCCCGGGGGTGGGAGGCCCAGGGATGTGCAGCCTCCAGGGGGACCATGCAAGGAGCAGCCACACCCCAGTGCAGACACCGGGACCATGCTTGGGCCCCGTGGGGTGCAGGGCCCCGTTGGGGCGCAGGCCGGAGCCCCGGGGCCGTGATCTCCCCTGCCCCCCTCAGGCTTCTCCATGCTCCGCCAGGGCCTGTGCTCTTCCCAGGGCCGCTGAGTGCCTGGAGCACCTGGACGGGCGCAGCTGCACTCACCTGGCCTGTCCCCGGGGGCCCCCGCTGGCTGTGGGCCTCCCAGAACCCGAGACGGGCTGCCGTCACCCCTGCTCGTGCGCCTCGGGGGCTCGTGTCTCCCTCCCTCTCAGAGCTGGGGAGAGCAGAGCGTCAGCGCGCTTGGGGCCACATTTCAGCGGGAGTCTCCTGAGCCGGTCGCCACCGCGGCCCCAGACCTCCGGAACCCCGAGGAGGGAGGCAGGCGCCCCGGGACCCCCGGGACCAGGGCGTCGCCCTCGCAGTGTCCTCTGGCCTGGACGGTCCCGGGCTGGGTGGCCGACAGGGTGTGCAGTGACAGGGGCGCGGCTCGGGGAGCTGCTGCCACCTGGCGCCCTCGCTCTCTGGGTGTGGCTGCGTTTGTGGAGTCGGGGTCATGTCACGTTGGCCGTGTGGCTCGTGTGTCCTGCGCCCTCGCGTGTCCTCCGCGGCCTGCAGGGAGCTGGGGTGCGGGTCAGCTCTGCTCCACGGCTGCCCCCACTTTCTGCTCCCCGGCGGCCATCCCGACCCGCAGAAGCGCCGGGTGGAGCCCTCTGGTGCCGTGGCCCGGGCCCCATCGCGGCCCCATGGCTGCCGGAGCACAGCTCTGACGTGTCAACTTTGCCTGCGGCCAGTTCCTGCAGGGGCCAGAAGCCGCCCCTGCGTGACCAGGGGTTCCCCGGGCCCCGCGGCCCCTCCCCCCGCAGCCCGTCCCGGCCTGTGCGCCCCGTTGCTGTGGGTCTTTCTGCCACATCCTCAGCGGCGTCCTGGGCATTCAGGACACTGGCACGGTCAGCGTGTGACAGGCCACGGCGCCTCCGCTTGCCGTGGATGACCTGTGGCTCCTCCCGTCTATGCGAAGCTTCAGTTTCTCCTCAAGGGCTTCCACGGGGTTTCTGTCTGTGACTCGGAGTTTCACATCTTCGGTGATGACTGGAGTGTCTTCCTGTTACTCCCCTGGCAACACCTGTTACTCCCCCGGGACACTGTGTGGCGTGGGCACCCACTTCAGTTCTCCAGTGCTGGACCAGGGCCTGCGCTGCCGCTGTGGTGACCCAGCCTCTGTCTGAGGAGCACCGAGCCCCGGCCTCCTCTCTCGTGGTGAGACAGACGCAACGGAGGCGGCTCAGGCCTGGCAGTCCCTCCCGCCCAGCTGGAGCGCGCCCGTCTTCCCACAGGGACGCTGACCCCGCCCCACCATGTGTCGGCGGCCTGGGTCCCGCGGTCAGCGGCGCCGTGTTTGTCTGGATGACGTCCTGGTGTGGGTTTGGGCGACATCGAGGTGTGGGCGGTGGCATAGCCCCTGGAGGTGGGCGGGGGTCCCTGCAGCGGCATCCCCACCCCACCTGGCCCAGCCACCCCGCCTGTGCCCCCACGTCTGTCTGGGCAGAGGCCCCCAGAGCCGTGGTGTGGTGCCAGGGCTCTCCTGTTCGGCCACTGTTGGGCGTGGACGCAGTACCGCCCACGGCTGCAGATGAGGGTCCTCGCGAGAGAGCTGAGGCCCAGGCACCGACACCGACCACACCGTTCGGGAGAGGGGGCCATGGCATGGCCGCCTTGCAGGGGCGGGGCCCAGGGTCCTGGTCAGGGGCAGCCGGTCAAGGTGAGAATGAACAGGGGGACAGCAGCAGCTGACCTCCGGCCAGCCCTGCAGCGTCGCCAGGAAGGGGGCTGCAGTCAGGAGGGGCCTGGACAAAGCAGAGGGGGGTCGCGACCCCACCCAGCGTTCCATCGGCAGGACTGTGTGTGTGTGTGTGAGTGCGTGTGAGTGTTAGGCGAGTGTGTATGGGTGTGGTGTGAATGTACACGGGAGCGTGTGAGGTGTGTGTGGTGAGTATGAGTGTGGCTGTGGCTTGTCCGCGACCCTCGGAAGCGTCCGGCTTGTTCCTGGCTGAGGGCGCCTCTTCCTCGCGGTGAGGGTGCTGGTGGGACAGCCTGGGTGCCGTGACCTGCTCCTCTGCCCCCGCCCCCCACCCCCGCGGCTGAGGGACCCTCGTGCAGGCTCTGGGCTTTCTGGGTCGGGTCAGGCCTGGGTCTGCGCCCAGGGCCACTGCCTGCGCTGGCCCGGGGGTGTCTAGGAGGCGCCGATGGCAGAGGCCTCCAGGCCTGCACCTGGCCCCAACTCGCCGGCCCCATCTGCCCAGCTCCGCAGAGGCTCAGCTCGCGTCCACCCCCCCGAGCCGCTGCAGAGCGCAGACGCGGGCACCTGCGTGGGCCCCAGGACGCCGTCTGCTCTCCTGCCACCTCCCTGGCCTTGAGGTCAGTTGCTGCCAGAGCCGGTCCATCTGGAGCTGCCAGCATGAGGCCTGGGAGAGGACAGGGTGACGCGGCTGGGGCAGTGGGCGGCGGGCGGGATCCGCGCCTGCTCCCAAGGGCCCCTGAGGCCAGAAGGGGCTGATGCTGGGGGAAACCACCCCTGGGCTGGCCCTGTCACTCTCCCATGCGCCCGGTCAGCACCGCCGACGGGGCCTTCTCCTCTGTGCGGAGGGACGGGGTTGGCCGTGGGCGCGCTGCCTGTGTGCGGCCAGAGCCCAGCGGGCGTGTCGCAAGCCGCGCTCCGGGTGGGTGGCTGGCGCCTCTTCTCCCTGGAGTGACACCAGGCGGCACGCGTGTTTCCCTCCCGCCCTCAACAGGCTTTCTTTTCAGTCTTGACGTGGGGAGGCCGGGCCCGGGCCTCGGGCAGCCCTGCCGGGGAGCAGGGTGGACGGGCTGGTTCCCGGGAGCGAACACAGCTGTGCTCACGGGCAGGGCCGCCGGCCAGTGGGGCCGGCGCTTCACGGGGCGGGGCGGCTCCTGTGCAGCCGAGGCTCATGGTCTTTGTCCCCCACAGCAACAGCAGGAGCTACTGGCCCTGAAGCACCAGCAGGAGCTGCTGGAGCACCAACGGAAGCTGGAGCGGCACCGGCAGGAGCAGGAGCTGGAGAAGCAGCACCGGGAGCAGAAGCTGCAGCAGCTCAAGAACAAGGAGAAGGGCAAAGAGAGTAAGTGCCCCCCGAGGCTCCCTGCCCCCCACCCCCTGAGGCTCCCTGCTCCCTGCCGGCCCCAGGCACAGGGGCAGCCACGGCTCTCTGCGTGGGGCTGCAGGGGCATCTGCACGCGGGGTGGTCTGGCGTTGGCGTTCTCTGTGCCCTGGTGGGCTCCTGCGGGCAGGGGCCATCCCGGCGCTTCCCACAGCCGCTGAAGCACACCCGTGTCCGCGGGGCCTCCGAAGCCCCTGCTAGACAGCGTCCGTCTGGTGAGCAGGTCCAGGCAAGGCGTGGGGGCCCCGGGGCAGCCCAGAGCGCTGCGCCCTGCAGACAGCCCCGGCGTCTCCTCCAGGAGCCTGCGTGAGAGGCAGCGGCGGGACCCAGGCAGGGAGGACAGGCCCACAGCTCTGGCCCTCGGGGTGCTGCCCCCACAGGGACCCCTGCCTGCCCGCCAGGCTAGTCCACCCCAGACTGAAGTCTGCACGCTGGCCTGGGTGGGCTCCAGGGCCACTTGCTCCCCGCCTCACGGGCAGCGGCGGAAGTGGGCACCCCCGTGCACACCCACCTCAGCCCTCAGGTCCTACACCCACCCTGGGGCCGCCGCCCTGCCCCCACCCAGCAAGTGCCACCTGTGTGTGCCGACAGCTTAGGGTGTGGCGCGCCCCACGTCATCCCTCCCCTGGGGCGCACCCGTGCACCCCCACCCTGGAGGCCGGGGGCTCGGGCGTGGCCATGTGCAAGTGGACCGAGGACGCTGGACACTGGGACGCGTCCCCAGGGCAAGGGGGCTGCCCTCGGGGTGTGTCCCGCCGGCACAGTGGGCTCCAAGCGCTGACCAGGCGCGGCTCCCGCGCCCCTGCTGGTGTGTCCTGTCCTGCTGTGGACGCCGCTTCCCGCTGAGCGGCACCGCCGGGTGCAGACACCTTTGCTCGTGCTCACTTGGCGGGCGAGGCCTCTTTCTGCCACGGGGCTCCCCTTCCTGGCCGGGAGCTGCTTCGCTCCAGCCCCTTCCAGGCTTCGCCTCTGCGACCGTCTCCCTCCTCGGGGCTGGCGCCGGCCGCTTCCCCAAGGCTGTCCCGCTTGGGGCGTCTCTGAGGAGGCACGTGGCCCCGGCAGCCCGGTTTGCACACAGCCTGGACACTCGGCTCCAGGCGGCGGCTCGTTCCTCCAGACCCACGTGGTGCTGCCTCGCGCCCCAGGCGAGACCCGACAGGCCAGAACCGGCCGGGAGAGCAGGGCCACTGGGTTTCAGCCGCCCTTGCGCCTGAGGGCCCTGCCCCCAGCTAGCCAGGCCGGCCCTCTCCTCCGCCTCGGCCACGTCCAGCATCGGGCCTGGAGCCTGCAGACGGCGCTGTCTGTCCTCGGCCCCGTGGGGCCACAGGGCGGAGGCCCGGCCGGACTCTCCTCGGGCCGAACTCCTGGCCTTTAGGTCTGTGTGGGTTTAAGTGCAATTACCAGGAGCAAAAGCCTCCGGGCTGTGTCGCGGGAAGGGAGCGTGCACAGCCTCGCGCCCTGCGCCGGCTTCCCTGGGGCCGCGTGGCGTCCGGCGTGGCGGCCGGAGGGGCCTGTTCTGGCTGGGTTGTCCTCAGGCGGTGTTTAGATCGCAAAATCGACATTTTGCCTTTAATTACTCCTCATTAGATGTGAGGTATTTCCAAATGGGATTTGTGCTATTTTGAAATCCTCCCTTCTGAAGGGAATTAAGTAGCTATTAAGCAAATTCGGTTCTTCAGTTGATCTTCAGCGTAGTGAGCGCGTCGCACCAGCTAATCCTAAATCAGGGAGGCGTTTATAACCTAATCTGTATCATTAAGTCTATTATTTTGTACATTTTAACAATATTTTCCCTTTGGAAGAGAATCTCGCCTTCCCCGCAGCGCGGGGCTCGTGTGCTCTCTCGGCGCTGCCGCTGCTTTTCCTTCCTCTGTAACTCGTGAGCTCTCGGCGGTGCTTCCCTCGCCAGGAGCGGCGCGGGGCGTCGTGCGCCCTGTGGGGGCCGCCAGCTCGGGCCGCGGGGGTGGGCAGCCCGGCGGGAGACGCTCCGGGCGGGTTTGGGTTGGGGACCCGCTGCTGGGCTCCGCAGGCAGGGGCCGGCCGCGGTGCCCCGTTCCCTCCAGGTGCCTCGTGTCCAGCCCCGCTGGGCAGCCAGGCAGGGGCGCAGCACGTGGCCGTGAGGGCAGCAGCTCCAGGGTGGTCATTGGGGAAGCCCCTGCTCTTCTCTGCACGGCAGGCTTGATGCCCAGTGCAGGGGAGCCCTCTGCACCTGTGTTAGGGCTGGGGGGTCCCAAGGGGGCGCCCCCGTTTGGGAGCTGCCCCCCCCAGCACGCTGCCCAGGGACAGCGGCACCCGCCCTGCAAGGGGCCTGGGGGCCTCGAGGGTGCGGGCGGGGGCCGTGTCCCGAAGGCCCCGCTGAGCGTCTACTGAGGCCACGCACGGCCGGCGAGGGGCTGCTGGGACGGGCTTGCTCACCAGACCCTGCCGGGGACGCCTCGCAGGCACGGAAGACACGGCTTGAGGAAACACCGGCTGTGCACGTCAGAGCCACCTCGGGCCTCCCCCAGGACAGGGCCGCGCGGCGTCGGGTGTCCCCTGCCTTGCTCCTGCCGCCGGCGGCCAGGCCGTGCGTCGGGGCGCATGGCCTGCGGCCCTCGGTGGGGTCTCGCCGGAGGCAGCCTGGGCCTCAGGTGAGCGGCCCTGGCCCCCGGGGCCATCGGGGCCATCGGCGCCCCATGCCGGGCGTGGGCTGCGCCGGTCGTCAGCGCCTGGAAAGCACCTGCGTTCAGTCGTGGCTTGTCATCGAGTTTCTTCTTAAACGCTTAGTGAGAGGTCCCGTTACGTTTGTCAGCGCTTACCGTGCTTCCCCTTCTAAATGTTGTGCTGCTTCCTCTACGCCCGAAACCAGCTCGTGCTGCTGTGACAGGCCGCAGGCCCGGCGTCCCCAGCTGGTTCTCGTCAGGCCGGCGGCGCCCGGCGGCCGGGTCCCGTGGGGCAGCTGTGACCAAGGACCGCGGGGATTCCGATGCACGTTGAGAAGGACAGTCCGACGGAGGCTGTCCTGCCCGGAGCTCTTGGAGCTGACGCAACTGGCCTCCCTGGGGCTAACAGCTGGGCCACATGGGAATCGGGGGCTGCTCCAGGGACCCCGGGGCCAGGCTGGGCGGGGTCCTGGAAGTGGGGTCCATCCACTGGGGAGGGGCCCCTTCTGTGTGGGGCGTGAGGCAGAGACCCTCCCAGGCAGCAGCCAACCTGTGTGCGGCCAACGGGACCCCGCCCGGCCACCTGGCCGGTTCCTCCAGCCGGTGTGCTGGCCCTGCCTGGCCCCACTGGCCCTTCCCGCCCTGCCGCGGAGGAGCCCACAGGTGTTGGCGTATGTCCCAGGGACGCTGACCCCCGGTTCCCCGGAGCCCCTCGGGCCCTTTGAGCTTTGTGCTCGATATGTCCGGGCTGCGGGGTGTGCGTGCCAGGCCTGGTCCTGCCCACCACCCAGAGGCCACCCTCCTCTCCCTGGCAGAGGGGCCTGGAGGGACCACCCTGGGGCCTCGTCACCACTGTTGACTTTGATTGGGAAGGAACATTCCAGGTGACTTGACGTGCGGAAGCCCCGGGCTGTTTTCTCTTGATTCAGTGGGAGCTTGGCGGGGCGCTTGCACCCACTTGGACGTCTGGCCACTGGGGCTGCCTGCAGCCACCCCCGTGACTCGTGGCAAGGGTGCTCCCTGCCTCGCGGCCCCACACATTCCCTGCCCAGGTGGCCAGCCCGGGAGAGGGTGAGGGGGCTCCTGCGGCTATGGCTTGCTCTCTGCAGAGCCCTGACAGGGGTGGGGCTGCCCTCCCCGAGGAGAGTGGCCCCCGTGCCAGTCGCAGTGAGCTGGTATGTTCCCAGCAGCCCTGCCGGGGAGCGGAGGCTAACACGGACCATGGGCGCCGTGACAGCAGGCGCTGAGAGCGCGGCGGGTGGATCTGCCCGGGTTGGGAAGGACGAAGTGACGTAGTTTGGGGACCAGCGTGGAGGACAAGCAGCCCCTTTCCTGGCCGAGGCGCGGAGGGCTGGCCTCGCGGCCGTCATAGGCGGCGTGACGCTTCCTTCCTCGCGCTCGGGGTGTCTGCGCAGTGCCTGCCCCGGGCCCCTCCCTCCCGCTCGCGCAGGCCCCGCTGCGGGACTCACCCGGGAACCCGGTGCGCCCGGGCTGTGTCTCGGCAGGTCAAGCCCCGTGGTGTGGTGGCTCACGCTGCGGCCCTGTGGCCCGGGGCGCTCTCTCCATGAACCCCGGGGCACGCGCGACACTGACAGGGGAAGCCTCCTGGGTGAACTCGGGGTCACATGGTGCCCCCAAGCTGGAGGGTGGAGTCAGGACCAGGCCCTGAGCTCCCGGCGTGAGCTGCACCTGCACCAGCATGTCACGGGACGCCCTGGTCAGTCCACCGGGGGAGGCCCCGGATGCGTGGTCTGAGCAGGCCTCGAGGAGGCAGGCGCCCTGTCTGGCTCGCATTGCTCTGTGCCCCGACGAGCATCTGCTCTCAGTGCCCTGGTCTCCAGCTGGGCCGAGAGCAACCGCGGGGCATCGGGGGCCCCGGGAACCCACCGTCCCTGCTCTGGGGTTGTAAGACAGGCTGCCTACCTTTGTGGGAGAAGAAACCCCTGTCAGAAGCAGATTTTGTGTCACGTGCCAGGTCTCCATGCTGGGGACACCTGCCTCTTAGGTGTCACACCTGCTGTCCTGGGCAGAGGCCCGTGCGCCCCTCCTGGCGCCGCCGCTCCTGACCCTCGCGTGCCACTCCCTAGGCGCCGTGGCCAGCACAGAGGTGAAGATGAAGCTGCAGGAGTTCGTGCTCAACAAGAAGAAGGCCCTGGCGCACCGGAGCCTGAACCACTGTGTCTCCGGCGACCCCCGCTACTGGTACGGGTGAGTGAGGCGCCGCATTCCCGGCCTGCAGCGCATGCACGGTGGAGGCCAGGGCCGCCCCGTCGGGGCCGAGAGACGCCCGGGCCAGCAGCAGCCACGGGGGCACCAGAGCCTGCGGCCCGCGCCCTGGCAGCCATCCAGAGGTGCAAAGGCTCACGGGCCCCGCCTGGCCAGCGTCCACGGCCCGTCCCGAGCGGTGTGGCGACTGCTGGGGCCACCTCAAGGGGAACTCGGGCCGGGGCATGGTCCCGGCTCTCAGGAGGGTCTCCAGAGTCTGCACCCAAATGGCCCAGGCGCCAAGCCCACCTCCCTGGGGACCAAGCCCCGAGGCATGGGGGCCATGTCCAGGAAGCGGTTCTCTCCCACCTCCAAGGCCCCGGGTCCTGGGGGAAAGCCGGAGGGTGTTTCGTATCAGGAGGTGCACGCCTCGCTGGGAGGAGAGGAGCGACTTTTGAGCCCCAGATGGACAGTCACGGCTGAAACCCCAGCAGCCCGGGTCCAAGCGCCCTGGCTCAGGAAGGCACAGCGTTGGGACCACCGTGTGGCCTGCAGGCAATCTCCGCACAGCTGCCCAGCACGACAGCCCGCGGGGCCTGCCCCCAGGGGGGGCCCTTGACGTGCTGGGGGAGCGCTGTGGCCACTCACGGCCGGTGGACCCATCTGGCCTCCTCGCCCGGGGTCATCAGCCCTGGGGTTAAAGGCGGGGAAGCTCATCGTCCCCGGGGTTGCAGCAGAGGGCCAGAGCTTGGGGAGAGGTGAAGGGGGCCCCCTGGATGCTCGCTGAGCACTGCAGAAGAGAAGCTGGGTGGGGGTTCAGCCTGGGGACAACGAGGGGCCAAGGAAGTCCCTCCTCAGCTGCGCGAGATGCCGGGGCAGAGGGTCCGGGCATGACCAGCAGTGGGTGCACAGGAGCTCTGCGAGAGCACCCGTTCTAGGGAGACAGCTCTGGCCAGGTGTCCGGGCGCCGTGGGAGGCGGGCCTGGTGGGCCGGGGTGTCGGGCGTGGTGCCCATGTCGCTGGCCTGGAGCGAGACTCAGGGCTGCACTGCGAGGATCTCCGAGAACGGGCAGGAGGTCAGGCTGCCGGGAACCAGGACGCGATGATGGGCTTGGGGGGTGGCCTGGGACTCCCTGGCTGCGGCGGGGGGGGGATCGGTCCCGGGCAGAAGCAGGCTCTGAGCAGGAGGAGCAGCGGCGCGCGCCTGCCGAGAGGGCGCGGTGAGAGGAGGCCTGTGGGAAGGGGTCGGCAAGGAGCCCCTGGGTGCAGGAGGGCAGGGAGCCGCCGCTTGGCACTGCTGCCCACAGAACCTGGGACGCCGGTGGAGCGGGGCTGGTGGGCGGGAGGGCCTGTCCCCCGAGCGCCCGCGAGTCTCCCCCGCTCCCTTGTCTGCATCGACGCATCACGGCCGGCACGTGCCGGTCATCCCAGCACCCCCAGGGAGGCCCAGGACCCCAGCACACCTGTGGCCGCCCCCCTGTCTAAGCCAGAGCCAGGCGAGGCCGCGCCAGCCGGGCACAGGACGGTCACTACCATGGCGCTGGCGGCGGGGAGCTGGGGCGCGGCGGGGGTGGCTGGGGCGCGGCTGAGTAGCCTGCCCGTGCCCTTCCCCACCAGGAAGACGCAGCACAGCTCCCTGGACCAGGGCTCCCCGCCGCAGAGCGGGGCGTCGGCCGCCTACAACCACCCGGTGCTGGGCATGTACGACACCAAAGACGACTTCCCTCTCAGGAAGACAGGTCAGTGTGGCCCCCGCGGCGCTGCCGAGCCCACGGCCTCCAGAGCCGCTTCCGCCGAGCCCACGGTGCCAGGCGGCCTGTCTCCGCGCGGGGCGGCCGGGCCTGGGCTGCCAGCCGCCTGGGTGGGCTGGGTCTGAGCTGCAGTGCCAGTGAGCGCGGGGGCTGGGGCGGGGCTCAGCTGTGGGGTGGCCGGCTGCGCGAGGTCCAGGGTCTGGCTGCGTCCAAAGCCGTTGCACCGGCCGCCCCGTGGGAGGCCTGGGGAGCCACGGCCAGGGCCGGGCTGGCCATTGGTGGCCCCTGGAGGACTCAGCCTGGCCAGTGTGACGTCACCAAGCCGTGGGAGACGCAGTGGCCCCTGCTGGGCCCGTGTCTGGAGGAGCACATGGGGCCAGTGGCGAAGCTGCCCTGGGCAGGGCTTCATTGAGGCGCGGGGGCCTTTATGAGACAGTGGGGGGCGGCTTGGCCCCCAGCTGGTGCAGCCTCTTGTCCTGCTGGGTGGCTGTTCTATCTCGGGAGCCCCGGCCGCAGGGCCGTCTCCCCGCACCGCCTGCCCCTCTGGGACGGGGCTGTCACACCAGACGGGCTCAGCCAGGGTCCCTTGGGGGTAGCGGGCCGGGAGGGGGCCTGGGCCTGCTTCCCCTCCCCACAGTGGGGCTGGGCACGGCCGTGGGGCCTACACCAGACGGGGCACCTTCTCCCAGTGCCCACGGTCACTGTAGCGGGGGACGCAGGGAGGAGGTGGGCGGAGGGCCTCACCCCGAGTCCTTCCCAGCGAGGCTCAGGAGTCACCGCTGCCATGTACTCACACCCCACCCAGAGCCGCACGGGGCCTCCCAGGACAAACCAGGCCCAACCCCCCAAGCCCGGCGTCTGCCACCAGGACCAGAGGTGCTCTGCGCCCGTCGGGGCGCCCCCAGCACTTGGCTCCTGTGGGTCCGCGAGGCAGCGCCTTGACCACACCAGACCCCTGTGCCCTAGGGCAGGGGCAGCAGCCTGAGGGGCGCGCTGGCCAGCATGCCCGGAGGCTGGGGCGCCCGAGGGGCCTGGCTTCCAGTGGCTTCTCCAGGAGGAAGTCTGCAGTCAAATGCTCTACCACTGAGCTGTACCCGCTCCAGGAGGAAGTCTGATTGGTGGTGGGCTGGGTGGTACAGGCATTGGGCCTGTACGTGGACCTGCAGGGCCACGCCCGACACCGTGCCCACACACCTGTCTCCTCGCCTCCTGGCAGTGACCGCGGACACCCCCAGCTGCAGGAGGCGGCCGGGCCCGTGCCTCTCACCCTACAGTGGACGGAGGGCGTTGCCATGGCAGCGGGGCCCGCGCGGCCGAGCTGGGGCGTGGGGCTGGTCTCCATTGCCTGGGACCGGCGCGCTGGCCCTAATGGTGCCTCCCCCTCACGCAGCCTCCGAGCCCAACCTGAAGCTCCGGTCCAGGCTGAAGCAGAAGGTGGCCGAGAGGCGGAGCAGCCCCCTGTTACGGAGGAAGGACGGGCCGGTGGTCAGTGCTCTGAAGAAGCGCCCGCTGGACGTCACAGGTTCGTTGGCCCAGGGGCCCGTGTCCCCGGAGGCCCGCGGGTGCCCGACGTGGGTGCCTGCAGCTGCTGTGCGGCCCGGGGCGCTCGGTCGCCGGAAGCTGGTATCCACCCGCCCGGGGCGGGGCCCTCTCCCCCGGCTGGCCGGAGGAGCTGCGGAAACTGGAGCTGAGGTTTCCCTGAAGGTGCCTCTTCAGGGGTCCCGCCCTGGGGGCGCTGAGCCCTGGACCTGCCCCTGCCTGGGGCGGCTCTAGCTGGGTTTCTCTTTGCTCTTGGTCCCCCCCTCGTGGCGACTCGCGGAGCCGGCGCTGAGAGGCCCGCCCTGCCCGAGGGCGCAGCTCTCCTCCCGCACTTCCCACACCCCAGCAGGCCCCGCCCCCACCCCCCCCAGAGGGGCCACTTCCCGAGGGCGCATGTCCCTGTCTGAACACTTCACCCCAGGGGGGGCTCGGGGCGGGGGTGCGCAGAGGCGCCTGCCCTGCCGCGGCGTGACCTGCAGAGCCGGTGCAGGAGGTGAGAGTGTCCTCCAGGCCGCGTCCCGCCGGGGCTGCCCCCCCGCGGTGGGGTGGGCGGGAGCCGCGTGTCCTGGTGTCAGGGTTGTGCTGTCAGGTCTCCAGCGGCCGTGCCCACGCCACCTCCCCGCGCCTCGCCCGAGTGCTGGGCTCGGGCCTCCCTCCCTGGTCACTGGGGCTGCAGGCAGTGGCCCGTGTTCCAGCAGAGGCTCTGGAACCCGCAGGCCGGGCGCCGTGCGTGGCTCCCCCACCCTTCGCCGCTTCCACCTGGCTCCTCCAGGCACCCGCCCGGCGCACGGTGCTCTGCACTCCCGCCCGGTGCCCTTGGCCCACGTGAGCCCCGGCCACTCAGAGGCGCGGGGCCGCCCGGCCCCCAGCTCTGAAGGGGACTGTGTGGCGACTCTCCAGCGCCCGGCCTGTGTCCTGGGCGGAGGGCCAAGGCCAGGCCCCGTGACCGTCAGGGCGGTGCCGAGAGAGGCGGGGCTGCTGCACAACGGCCGAGGTGCCTTTTCTTGGGAAACGTCGTTGCTGAAAGGCATTGACCCAGCAAGAAGGCAGAGGGCCGGGCAGACACGCTGCTGGCGGCCGGGTCTCCTGTCTCCCCCAGAGAGGGTCAGCTGGCAGGCTCTACCCCTGCCCCCGCGGGTTTTCACCTAACGACTGGTCCAGCCTGGCTGTAGCACCTCACGGGAAGGCGAGAGGGCGTGGCCCAGTGCACAGAAGCAGCAGGTGCTGGCCCAGTGACCACTCCCCTGACCTGCCCTGGTCAGCATCACTGGGCTTCCCTTTCCAGTCTTCTGGAAACACAAGAGGGCTCAGTGTTTAAGGGCTCCCCCCACTGGGCTTTGTGGCCATTTGAAGCTCCCAGGCGGTGTCGGGCGGTCTGGTGAGTGCTGAGCAGGCTCCTGCCGTCCGGCAGTGGCCAGTGAACAGCGCTTGCCCAGGCCTCACGTCCAGGCCGGGGGCCAAGGCCGAGGCCTCCACGCCAGCATGGCTGCCGCCAGTCAGCTACGCGCAGGAGCCGCGGGCAGGCGGGCGAGGCGCGGGACACAGTGGCGGGCCCCGCCGGCTCACCGAGGCGTCCCTCCGCAGACTCCGCGTGCAGCAGCGCCCCGGGCTCCGGGCCCAGCTCGCCCAACAACAGCTCCGGGAACGTCAGTGCTGAGAACGGCATCACGCCCCCCATGCCCAGCCTGCAGGCCGAGGTCAGTGCCATGCCGCCTCTGGGCCGGGGCGACGCGGGGGCCAGGGCGGGAGCGAGGGGTCGCCTGGGTCCCTCTGGCCGGGCGGTGGCGCTGCTTGGCCATGGCTCTTCAGCGTCCTGGACACCGAGCGGCGCCGGCGGCAGCAGGGGAGCCTGGGCACGGGCGCCTTCTGTTTCAGGGATTCGTGGGTGAACAGGCGCTTCGGGGCCGAGCTCCGTGCCCCCCAGGCTGCCCCCCGCTTTCCCTGCTCCAGCCGCGGCTCTCCTCCGCCCCGTCCGCTGTGCGTGCTGCGTGGTCCCGGCTGCGCTGGCCGCCGGCCGCCCGCAGGACTCGGCCCTCGCCTGGACACCAGGCCCGGAAGTGTCTGGCCCGGTCGCCGAGTCGCCTGCGGGGGGCTGCCCCTCCCGCCGCGGTGGTGCCGTCGTGTTGTAGGACGCGCGGCGGCGGCTTGGCTGGCTCCCAACGTGACCTTGGGCGGCCGACGTGCCGTCCTCCTCCCTCGCGCAGTGGTCAGCGGCCGCGGCCCTGTGCCTGAGGGGCCTTGCGGGGTCAGTCCTTGCCTCTCCGGCCTCCACTGCTGGCGGCAGGTCCGGAGCTGTTGCTGCTCTGAGTTGGCTTAAAGCCTGTCGCCCTGGAGCGACCGATGGGGGCGCGCGAGCAGCGTGGCGTGTGGCATGACGTGGCCCTGCGTCCTCTCTGCAGACCGGCCTGGCGCACAGACTGGCGGCGCGGGAAGGCTCCGGGGCGCCGCTCCCCCTCTACACCTCGCCCTCCTTGCCCAACATCACCCTGGGTCTGCCGGCCACCGGCCCTTCCGCGGTGAGTTCGCCTGCGGGGCCCAGGGTCTGGGCAGCAGCCGCCCTGGCCAGCCCTGAACACCGCTCCTCCACAGGGGGCGGCCGGCCAGCAGGACGCTGAGAGGCTCGCCCTCCCCGCACTGCAGCAGCGGATCTCCCTCTTCCCCGGCACGCACCTCGCGCCCTACCTGGGCACAGCGCCCCTGGAGCGGGACAGCGGGGCACCCCACAACCCTCTCCTGCAGCACATGGTCTTGCTGGAGCAGCCGCCAGCCCAGACACCCCTCGTCACGGGTAAGCAGCGGTGCTGGCCGCTGCGGTGTGAGCAGCCCCTCCCGGGCCGGCCGCAGGGTGACGCGCAGGCTGCTGGGGCAGGGAATCTCCCGCACTGACCCGGGCAGGGGCTCCCGTCCCGGCCACCCCGTCTGCCCACTGGCAGGGCTCACGGGCAGTGCCTGGCGGGCTGCAGGGAGGGGGCGCCCAGCCAGCGGGTGTCTGGTAGCTGCCCTCCTGTCACTTAACGCCCCTACCACTGCCCTTCCGCGTGTTACCGCCAGGCCTGGGCGCGCTGCCCCTGCACGCGTCCTCTCTGGTCGGGGCAGACCGGGTGTCCCCCTCCATCCACAAGCTGCGGCAGCACCGCCCGCTGGGCCGTACACAGTCAGCGCCGCTGCCCCAGAACGCGCAGGCGCTGCAGCACCTGGTCATCCAGCAGCAGCACCAGCAGTTCCTGGAGAAGCACAAGCAGCAGTTCCAGCAGCTGCAGATCAGCAAGGTGGGCGCCGGGCGGGGGTGGACACCAGGGTGGGTGGGGGACGGGGGCCATCCCGCCGCTGCCAGCGAGCCCTGAGCTGGGGTCTGGTGCCTGACCTGCGGGGTCAGCAGGGTCTCCTTGGCGCTCTCGGGCCGTTGGCCTGGCCCAGGCAAGCCCTCAGCAGACTGCCAGGTCACCTCCCCGGGGGCCCCGCGGGGGCTGTGCCCACCCTGGGGCCTGCACGCGGGAGAGGCTGGGGACACGGCGACCCCAGGTCATTCCCAGACCTGATGCTGGCAACGAGCCCCTTCACTTTGGAGGACAAGGGCGGCCCCGGCCCTCAGCCCCCTCTCTGCCCCACCGTTGTCGGCCAAGAATGGGCCTTTTGGGCACACAGCGCCTCACCCCTCACGCCCTGGGGTCACCCGCAGCCTCGCCCTGGCTGTCACCTGGGCCCGACTGCCCCCGCCTCTGGGTGCGCCGCTCCCCATGCCGCCTCGTGCTGTCTGCCCCCGAGCGTCGCCCTCGACGGCGTCCCCGTGTGGGCCGCTGGTGGCCCCGCGGTTCGCAGGGCATCTTGCAGAGAAGGCCGCTCTCCTCCCGGCGGCTGCCCCCAGGCCAGTCAGCTCTCGGGGCGACGGATGCGTCGTCTGCTGCCCAGCGGGCACTCGGCTCAGCACCAGCACAGCTCAGCCTGTGGGCCCCGGTGCCGGGCGGGGCGGGACCGGGAGGGCGCCAGCACCTTCACCCCCGGTCGCCCTGGGCCCCGCTCCCGGGCCGTTGCCTGCCACGGCAGCTCTGGGGAGACTGGAGCACCCCGGCAGCGTGCTCGAGCAGCCCCCAGCACCAGCAATCGGCGACTGTTTCTGCAGCGAGCGGCGGCTGACTGACGTGTCTGTGCAGCCCCCGGCTTGCGCCTCGTCTCTGCCTCCCTCCTCTCCCCACCTCCCTCCCCTCGTCTCGTCTCAGGGACGCGCCTCCTCGCGCTGCTCTGGGCCCTGGCACCATCCACGCCTCACACAACCCTCGTGCAGCTGCGCCTTCCTGGGGTCACCGCCGGGCACCCTCCAGAGACGCCAGGGCCCTGCCGGCAGCGATGCCTCACAGGGAAGGGACTTTCTGGGACCCTGAATGCCCCCGTCCGGTGCATCCACTCCTCCCGCCTCCTCTTCCCGCTGCCCCCATGGGCGGGCAGCTCGAGCCTGGAGCTGCAGCCCCCGCACGGCAGTGCGCCGGCCAGGCCTCCGTGGGTCTGTCTGATGGAAACGTGTTTGCTTCCTCTTGACCAAGACGTGGCGGCGGCCTCCGAAGGAACAGGCACGGAGGGCTGGCCATGGGCCCCAGAGTCCTCTGGATCTGGCTGACGGAGGCCTGGGCCGTCTCTTTGGAAGGCCTGCCTCAAGCTTCCCCAGAACTTCTTAGACTCCAGCATGTCTGAATTCCAGTCTGGCTTCTAGAAAGCTCGCGATCCCATACAGTTGCGTTTCTTGTTTAGCTGGTGAGGCGCCCCCGAGGCCCAGAGGCCCCTGGAAACCAGCTGAGTGGGGTATCCGGCTTGCGGCCGTCACCACTGTGCTTGCCTCTGGCACCTCGGGTCTTGCCGTGGCCAGCCTCAGCCTGCCCGGTGAGCAGAGCCAAGGTCAGAGGCAGGACAGGACTGGGGGCAGCCAGGTGGGGCGGCATCCTTCCCTCGCTGGGCGCTGTCTTGAAGCCCAGAATGCCTGACTCTGCAGGCTGGAGGGGCCTGGCGGCCTCTGCCCAGATGCCCTCCTTTTCCCAGGGGCCGAGCAGGTGGCGCGGGAGCCTGGGGAGTTCGCACGAGAGGCGCTTCGGTCCCGCTCTGCAGCTCCCCCCTCACCGGCGGGAACCCCCCAGCACCGGCAACCCCAGGGGCCACACAAAGGGGGTGGACTGCAGGGCGGCTCCCGAGAAAAAGAGGCTGGACGCATGACCCTCCCAGCCCATGGCCTGGGCAAGGAAGGCTCCGCATCTTGCCAGTAGGGTGGGTGAGCGCGGACACAGCCCCGCGTGAGCTCCCCCATGGAGAGGCACGCCACCCGCCTCCACCAGGACAGCCACCCCGGGCATGGCCCCGGCCCTGTCCAGCCGCGCACCCGCCCCCCGCCCAGTCTCCCCGGGATCTGGCTGCACCAGGGCGCTTAGCAGAGGACCTGCTGGCACCTGCTGGGCCCTGGCCACACACGGGGCTGTGCTCACTGGGGCTCAAGCCCCTCAGGCACAGTGCGGGAGCTGAGGAGGACACAGCCACGTGGTGCAGAAGGCGCAGCCCCCGAGGGAGCTGCTGAGCCCCGGGCCTGTGGAGCGTGTGGCCGCAGCCTAGTCCTGGGCGGCCAGCACTGGACCAGCCTGGCGTCTGCCATGCCAGCTGTTGGCGCCAGTGCCAGGCTCCCGTGCTCAGCCTTTCTCTGGGGCTTTGAAGAGCAGCAGGAGACTCAGGAAGAAGCCAGGACCCCCTAAGCCCCTCCAAGACCCCCCCTCCCCCGAAACGCCTCACTTCCGCCCAGCCCCGCTGCAAAGCCCCCGCCCCACCCGGCCTCTCCCCCAGAGGGCTGCAGACACCTGCCTGCTCCGGCCGGAGCTCCCGGAAGGCCTAGAAAGACCCCGTTTCCAGCTCTCGGGTGGCGAGGCCAGTGCTGTGGACACGTGTGCTGTGGCGTGGGGGGCCTGCAGCCAGGATGGGCCCCTGTGTGTCCTGAGGCCAGCCTCCGGCCTGCCCAGTGCTCTTCTCCTAGCCCTCGGGGCCACTGCTGGGGACCGGACTCTGTGTCTCTTCTCTGGCTGGACCGCGCCGCCGCTGGGGGGCACTCGGCCCTGCAGCCCCAGGCGCAGCCCCTGAGCGCAGTCCCCCGCCCTCTGCTCACAGATTATCCCCAAGCCCAGCGAGCCGCCCCGGCAGCCCGAGAGCCACCCCGAGGAGACAGAGGAGGAGCTGCGCGAGCACCAGGCCCTGCTAGAGGGGCCCTGCCGGGACCGGCTCTCTGGGCAGAAGGGGGTGCGGGCGCTGGCCGGGGTGCAGGTGAAACAGGAGCCGGTGGAGAGCGACGAGGAGGAGGCTGAGCCCTCACGGGACAGGGATCCAGGGCAGCGCCCACACTCCGAGCAGGAGCTGCTCTTCAGACAGGTGGGCACGGGGCCTGCCCCGGGCATGGGGCAGAGGCGGAGGCGTCTGCGTCGCGCTTCCGGTGCCTGGAGGCGAGTGGGTACGGCCCCCAAGCCCTGGGCCCCACCACCGTGCCCTGGGCCCCTTCAGCCCCACTCACCCTCCTCCAGCAACTCGGGGGGGCACAGGACTCGGCGCGGCCGGGAGGGCCGGGCCTGTTGGGTGAGGCGCTGGGTGGCTGCGAGACACTGGTGACCGGCCGCTCCGCCTGGGAGGCCTGGGGGCTGTGCGCAGCCCATCCAGCCCCGCTCTGCGGGAGACTTGGACGGTGTGCGAGGTGGGCTGCGGGCAGCGAGCAGGAAACGCCGTTGGCAGCCTCGGGCCTCCCGGCTGCGTGTCCCCGGGGCGGCGGGCCGTGGCTCCAGGGCCCCAGGGGACGCTCTGGGCTGCAGGCTCTGCCCCTTGAGCCCCTCAGGCCAGTGACCGGCCATGACACACATGCCCCCGGGGCTGCTCAGGGCCTCGCGGGTGGGCGGCAAACTGCGCTCGGGCCGTGGCCTGGGGGGCACGCGCGGGCAGGGCACACGACCCCATGGCCGGAGACGGCCTGAGGCCACACGGTGGCTGCCTTGCCCCCCAGCAAGCCCTCCTACTGGAGCAGCAGCGGATCCACCAGCTGAGGAACTACCAGGCGTCCATGGAGGCTGCCGGCATCCCCGTGTCCTTTGGCGGCCACCGGCCCCTGTCCCGAGCACAGTCCTCCCCGGCGGCGGCCACCTTCCCCGTGTCTGTGCAGGAGCCGCCCCCGCAGCCGCGCTTCACCACAGGTAAGGTGTTGGGGCGCAGGGCGGGGGTGGGGGCCCGGTCCATGTGCCTGTGGGAGTGGGGGCCCACTCGGGGCACCCTGCCGGCAACCAGCTCTGAGGCTGCCGGTCCAAGAGGCGAGAGCCCAGGAGGTCCCTCACAGCTCCTTCCCCCCGCGGTCTGTGCCGGGCGCGCAGCCCCTTCTTCGCCCCCCACGGACAGGCCCCGCGAGCCTGCCCTCGCCTTCCCCGCTGAATGGCGCCCGCGTCGGGCCCTGACCCAGACCCGGGCGGCCCGAGCCGAGCACCGTGCAGGAACAGCCCAGAGGCCGCCTCTGAGGCCCCTTGGCCACCCTCTGCCCGGAACCTCTGCGCTGTCCACCCCACCACCCCGGCTGGCGCCTCCGCCGGGTCTCCTTGGAAGGCACGGGAGCCGGGGAGGAGGGGACCAGCGGCTGCCCGGGTCGGGGCCTGCGGCCCAGCTGGGCTCCCGCTGCGGCCGGGCCTCCTGCTCGCCCGGCTGTGTAGCGCCCGTGGGGGGAGGTCCCCGAGCCCCGGCCGGCTGCCTCCGCCCGGTGACATGTGGCGAGCAGACAGGCCGCGCTCTCCTGGTCACGTCCCGGCGTCTGCCCAGCCCCGCCACCCACACGGTGCCGCCTCTGAGCTGCTGTGTCCCGGCGGCCGCGCCCCCCGCCAGCGTCAGGGCCCGGCGCCTCCCCTTCACTGAGCTCCTGTCCCGTCGTCAGGGGCAGCGACAGCGCTGTCGCCTCCGCTCCCAGCCGCCGCCCGGCTTGCTGCCCCCTCCGTGGGCCCAGCAGCTCTCGGTTGTGCCGGGGCGCCCGGAGTTCCTCCGCGTGAGGCCGACTCCTGTTAGCCCGCCCACGGGAGACTGAGCAGGGCGATGCGGGAACCAGTCTGCCGGAGGCCGGTGTCCCTCCGCCCTTCAGAAGCCTCCTCACCCCACAGCAGCCGCCGTGTCTGGCTCCCACCGTGAGTTTGCACGGCATAGCCGGCCGTCCTCACCCCGGAGGCTGGCCTGCCGCAGTCAGGGCGCTGGGAGATGGGGGTGAGGTGAGCGGACCGGCCCCTCCCCTTACAGGAGGACTCGTTGCCCGTTGCCCCCCCCCTTCTGTGCCTTGGCCCTGGTGTGCAGGCGGGTCCACCCCGCGGCCCCTCCCTGACTGTGAGGTCGGTCACTTGGATGGGCCTGGGTGTTCCCCTGGGGCCTGTCCCGGGGGCATCGAGGCTGCAGGTCCCTGAGGGCCGGCGCTGAGCCTGGTTCCCTGGGACGTGCAGGCCTGGCTGGCGGGGGCTTTCTGAGCCGGCCAGGTCAGCACTGAGGCGGTGACCAGTGCCTCCCGGCCTCCTCGGGAGGGCTCCGCGTGGGGACTGGGTCCTCTGTTTGCTGAGCCCTAGCACCTGGGATCAGACAGACCCGACTCTAGGGCCACAGTCCCTGTCTCAGGACATGTGGGGAGCCCTCCGTGCGGCCCTGGGCCCACGCGGTGCCAAGAGGAGCCCCGGCCGTCGACTGGGCCCACCCAGGCAGCAGAGCCTCTGACCCCACCCCCCGCCCCCACCCGCAGGCCTCGTGTACGACACGCTGATGCTGAAGCACCAGTGCGCCTGCGGGGACACCAACAGCCACCCCGAGCACGCGGGCAGGATCCAGAGCATCTGGTCCCGGCTGCAGGAGACCGGCCTCCGTGGCAAGTGTGAGGTAGGTCGGGCCCAGGAGGGCGTCTCCAGTGCCTGCCTGCAGGCGCCCCGGGCTGCATCCCTAGATGCCACTGCCCGCCTCCGCCCCACCTGCTGACCCGCTCCCACAGGAGGGCCCGCCCAGGCGCCACACGTGGGGCCGGCCACACTCACCTGGTTATCGGAAGACAGCAGGCCGGGCCGGAGAGCCTGCCATGGACACAGCCCCAGCCCCAGGGTCCACCTGCTCCCCGCAGGGGCTGGGACTTGGGGAGTCCCGCCACCCCAAGTTCCCACGCCCTGGCTGCTCCCCAGTGTTTGGTCGGGCATGCCCCAGAGGGAGCACCTACAGCCCTGACACACACTGGGGGCCCTGGGCACCTCCTCAGGAGGCGGGCAGGAGTCGGCACCACGGGGCGCAGCGTCGCCCAAGCCGCCTTTCTGTGGGGAGACCCTCCTCCCCTCCCTCCTGCCCCCAAGGGGCCCAGCCGCAGCACAGATCGGGGGTGAGTGCACCTGGAGGCCCCTGGAGCAGTGCGGCCCCTCTCGCTCCCCGCCCTTGGCCTAGGGGCGTTGCTGGCTGAAGGAGGGCCCTGGGTATGGGCTCACACCCAGGAGGAGATGCCAGGAGGGGATGCCTGGGCCTGGCACAGACCCCAAAGCAGGGGTGTTGGGAGGAGGCGGGTGGCCGCATGCTCCACGCAGCAGATCTCCAGGTGCAGACCCTGCCATGCGGGTGCCCCCCACGAGGGTGCTGGCTTGCCCAGGGGGTGCACGCCCTCTGCCTGGTTGCGCTTGCAGGCCCAGCACCCCCCGAGGCACCCAGGATCCTGGCGGGGCGCTGTCCTGGACAGGGAGTTACAGGGACCGACCTTCCCAGGAGCAATGCCGGGCTCTCCCGCCCGGGCCTCAGCCGGGACACGGCAGTACCCGCAGTGGGCTGGCCGGTGCAGCGGGTGAGGCACGGGCAGCTGGTGACCTGTCGAGCGGCATCCCGGCAGCAAATGGGACCAGAGACGTCCCCCAGCCAATTCGCGCCAGCAGCGTCCCAGTGTCCGCAGGAGCCCGGCCTCACCCGGGACGAGCAGGCCCAGCAGCCCCACCCACGGCCGCCCCAGGGAGGGCGAGGGCCTGGTCAGACCCTGGCTGCAGCAGGGGCGCCTGCCGCAGACCCTGCCGGCCCTCAGGGAGCCGCCTGTGTGCCCTGGGTTCAGGGCAGAAGGGCCGGGCAGAGGGGCCTCGCAGCCGGGGGCTCGAGTGGCTGGTGCCGCTCACTCGCCCAGCCGGCTTCCCTGCTCCTCCGAGGACGGGCTGCGCTGGCGTCCCGCTAGGGGCAGGCGCCCCTCCGGCCTGGCTGGACGCTGCTGCGCTCCTCCCAGCTGGCTGAAATGAGAGGGCAGGCGGCCCGGGCCTCCCGCCGGACACCACGTGGCATGTGCTCCTCGCCACCCAGGCGGCCCAGACCCCAGGGCGGTAAGCCTGGCACTGGCCGCGGCTCTGCACCACCTCAGGAGCATGGGGGAGCCCGCGGTGAGCAGCAGGAGCAGACCACAGAGCAGCTGCACTGCCCACCACCGGCCGCCGCCGCCGCCCTGCCCCCGGGCCCAGCCCAGCCGGCCAGCGTGCACAGCACGGTGGGGGTCAGGCTCCTGGGCAAGGGCTCCCCCATCTCACCCCGGACCCAGCAGCCCCGCCTGCCCCACCTGGGCCCCACTGTCACTCCTGGTGCAGCGGCGTGCCGTCCAGCAGGCAAGGGTGGCTGGGGCACAAGGCCCCCACCCCGGGGGACAGTGAGCCGGGCACAGAGAACCCCGATAGCAGAGGCTGCGGGAAGGAAGAGCCGAGTGAAAGCGCGCTGGGCCCCTGGGCGGCCAGCCACGCCAGCCTCTGCTCCCCGGGCCCCTGGTCAGCACGAGCCAGGCCTCCGCCTGGTCAGGAGCGCCATCCACAGGGCCAGGCGGCACTTACCCTGCATTCTGCTCTGGGCCTAGCAGCTGGTCATCAAACTGCATGGCGCCCCCTTCATGCCCCGGGGCCACCCAGCCCCACGCTGCCCGACCTGTCCAGGGACTGTGGGGCTGCCCGCGCCGGCTTGGCCTGACCGCTTCCAGGCCCCATGGCGCCCGGGGTGTGGCAGGGCTGAGGCTGAGCTGCTCGCCGCGGGGCTGGAGCTTTCCTGGCAGGGCGAGGTGGGCAGCGGAGAGTCCAGGCCAGGGCCAAGGGGAGCCCAGGACAGACCTCCTAGGAGCTGCAGGGCTGTGCCCCGTGGGGGGCCTCATGGGTGTCCCGGTGACCGCCCTGGGTGGTGCCGGCCCTGCATGGAGCAGCTGCCGGGAGAGGGCAGCTTGGGGGAGCCTATCGGCTCTCAGCACCCCGCCCCGGACCCCGCCTCAGGCCTGGGCTCCGACCCGCAGCAGGTGGGTGTGGGGCGGCCCCAGCCAGCTCTTGGGCCCCCGCCTGCCCAGAGGGCAGCCCCCCAGCCACCACCAGCCCCAGGGGGCCCCCCACTGTGCCTCAGAGGCTGCCCTGGACGGCAGGACCACCCCTTAAAGGGCAGTGGCGCAGCCCCCGAGGCGAGGCCCCCATGAGGCCCCTGGGAAAAGTGCGGAACGCCCTCCCAGGTGTGGCTTGAGGAAGTGGCTCGAGGCGGCGCCCGCTGGGCCTCTGGGCTCACAGCTCCCAAGGGGCGGCCTGGCCGTCGGACAGGATGCTGCGTGGCGGGCGGAGGGTCCCCGCCCGGAGGCTGAGTGGTCCCGTCGGGGGTCTTTAGTTAGGCTGCGTCCCGAGGCGAACTCACACGCCACTGCGGGCCAGGTGCTGGGGGCGGCGCTGACCGGTACCGGGCACTGTGGGCGCGGCCCCCCTGAGCGCCCGTCAGGAGCACATGCTGAGCCCCGTGTCCCCGCAGTGTGTCCGCGGACGGAAGGCCACCCTGGAGGAGCTGCAGACGGTGCACTCGGAGGCGCACGCCCTGCTCTATGGCACGAACCCCCTCAACAGGCAGAAACTGGACAGTAAGAAACTCCTAGGTACTGCTCGGCCTTCCTCCCCAGCCGCGCCCCTTCCCGCCTCCTGGGCGCGGGCCTGCTGGGAGACGGGCGGGCAGGGCCTGCTCCGTGGTGTCCACCAGGCCCCTGGGCTCCACGCAGCTCTCAGCCGGCTGCCGGTCCCTGCGGCCTTCATGGGCTCAGCGGAGCTTGGCTGGCCCCAAATGCTGCTCCTGCCCAACCTGGCTGAGTGAGGCCGCTTCGGGCTCGGGCAGCGCAGCCGGTGCTCGCTGCAGAGGCGAGGCCTTGTCGGGGGAGTAGGGGCCTGTGAAGGAACTTTCCGACCGGCACATCCTGCCCTGGACGTGGGGCGTCCCCTAGGAGTGGGGGTGCAGGTCCCGCACACGCATGGCCTCCAGGCTCAGCCAAGGCCCGCCTGCCCAGGGCCCTGATGGCCCCGGCCTTCCTGGGTCACCCCCCGACTGGCTCCTCCCCGCCTGCCTTTGCCGCTGCTGACCCCCAGCCCAGCTAGGCAGGTGCCAGGTGCTGAGCGGCCTGTCTGGGTGCTCGGTCCTCCCCTCACGTGCTGGGCCCTGTGCCGTCCCCGACCTCAGGCTTCCCCGCCACGCAGCCCTGCATGCCTCCACTCGCCCACACGCACCGCACCAGGGCTGTCCGGTGGGCTGCGGCAGCCTGGCCTCGGGCACCAATGGCTGGGCTATGAGGTCAGGGCTCCAGCTTAGGGCCCACTGCACGAGGCCGTGGCCCCACAGATAGCTGTTGGGTGGGAGGCCGACAGAGAGGGTGGCCCCCAGGCCGGCGCTGGAACCACCCGCTGGTTCGGGGTTGGCAGGCCTGGGCCAGCAAGAGCAGCCTCCCGGCGTCCAGAGGGCGCAGCACCGCAAACACCTCAGCTCAGGGCAAGCGAGTTGAGTGCGTCTCCCGGAAATGGGAGCCGACGAGTGACGAGAGCCAGGAGCAGGATCCACCGCGGAGGCCACGGGCAACGCGCTGGTCACGGAAGCGTCTCCGGCGTGAAGGCCCCGGAGCAGGAGCCTGCAGGGAGGGGCTGGGGTGCCAGGAGCAGGCCCAGGCCGCAGGGCGGGTGCCGGCCCACGGGGCCATTGGGGGCTGCGTCTGTTGGCCCACGGAGGGCAGGTCCAGAAGCGGGGGATGCCTGGGGGAGGGCCTTCCTCTGGAGTCTTCACCCCAGGCTGCAGCCGCAGTGCCTCCACCACGCCCAGCCGGGCTGCAGGGAGGAGCCCTCAGACCCAGGCAGTCTGGGAGGACAAGGCTGTGTGCAGGTGACCGCAGCATGGTGCGAGGGCCAGCGTGTGTTCCCGGGATTCCGCTGGACCGTCTGCTGCCCGTGGGTCCCAGACGTGCCCGGAGCTGCTGGGCACCGCCCACCCCTGCCCCCCGAGGCTATGCCAGCCTCGGGGCCGGGTCTGCCTGCTCAGCCAGCCGGGGCGCCTGTGTTGGCCGAGGGGGTCACACCTCCAGGGCTGCGAGCTGCTGCCCGAGGCCCCCGCCCCGCCTTGAGGTCTGCCTTGAGGTCCCGCCCCAGCACGTCCTCGTCGTTCTGGGGACGTGGGGTGGCGTGCGGTGTCTCGCTGTGGCCAGCATGTCCGGCCAGGCGCTCAGGCTCCCCCGCTGAGTCGCAGATGTCCGAGCCAGTGCAGGGGCCCGTGCGGTGCGGCCTGGACAGTGTGCAGACGGCACCCGCAGTGGACGTGGGCTCCGGGGCTGCCAGTCACCCTTAGCTGTCCCCAGAGGTGAGGCCTTCCCTGGAGCCTGGACTGGGCTGGGGCCCCGGAGTGCGGTGCTGCCTGGCGAGGCCAGTGGTCCCGCAGAAGCCCAGCACTGTCCGGCCTGTGGCAGCGGGGGGCGTGCTGCAGCGGGGGGCTCAAGTCCTGGCCGCGCTCCACCCTGCGCCCGCCCGCCAGGCTGGGCCCCCGAGGCGCGGCACCCTCACCTCGCTGCAGCCTGGGCTCCCTGGAGAGCAGGAGGCGGAGAGAGGTCGGGTGAGTCTGGTTTCAACAGACTCAGAGGCCCAAGTTCAAACACAGGGCGCACCTCCCGGCACGGCGCTTGCCCACCACTGCTCACGCGGGCATCGAGCACCTGGAGCCCCCGGGAGCCCTTTTGGTCCCCAGGGCCCTGATCTGCTTTGGATCAGGGCTCACCAGCGCTCACCTCGTAGGCCCGGCTGCCCGCCTTCAGTCCACAGGGAGGCCATGGGGGTGTTGGGGCAGGGCACGGGGCAGGTCAGCGGGAGGCCCGGCCCCTGCCTGCCGCTCTGTGCAGAGCCCACCGTACACAGTGGGGAGCTCAGAGGGGGCCTCTGTCCAGAAGTATGTCCACGAGCGTCTGAACACGGTCCACGCCTGTGTGCGGCCATGGACGCCAAGGTGGGAGCCAGTCAGGCACGGCTAGGTGAGTGGCCTGGCTGGAGAGCGGTGGCCGGAGGCTCTCAGGAGCGGCTGCCGAGCACCCCACGGGGGTGCAGCCAGGCTGGTGACTCGGCGCCAGTGAGAGGGAAACAGGCTCCGAGAGCACTGCCTCCAGGGGCCCGCTCGGGCCGGCCGGCTCATGGCCACCAGCCCCCAGGGCAGGCCTCCCGCAAGCACTGCGCACCTGGTCTCAGGGCTGTGGCCCCGTCCCACAGCACCCACCCACATCAGGCCTGCCCAGCCTTTTGTTCCGGGCCTGGTGTCCATGTTTCAGAGTGTGGCGGCCAGCACTTGGGGGTGCAGGAGCCCTGGACCCTAGAGCAGGCTCCCAGGGCGGCCCTGAGTGCCCACTTGTGCCATGCCGGGTGCGGGGGCTTGGGTGGCCTGCGCTGGGCTGGCTGCTTCCTGGGTGCTGAGTGAGGGGGCCTGGCGACACCTGTGCTGTGCCCCACCCCCCGCACAGTGCCCCCCTGTGGCCTCACCCTGACCTGCTCTCCTGTGCCCGCAGGCTCGCTCACCTCCGTGTTCGTCAGGCTGCCCTGCGGCGGGGTCGGGGTAAGTAGCCGTGTGCGTCAGAAGCGGACGTTTGTTCTTGGGCGCAGACCCCACTGGGGGGCGGCTGCCGCTAGGCCTTCCCCGAGGGGTCTGGCCGTCCCGGGAAGCGGCCGGCACTGGATCCTCTCGGAGCCGGGACCTGATGTGGGGGCCGCGACCTGGTGTGAGGGCCGCGTGGCTTGCGGGGCAAGGCGCACCTCGCGGGCACTGCTGTCAGCCATCCAGGGTGTCTGCCGTCCTGTGCCCTTTGGCCACCCGAAGACACAAGAAGGCCCAAATGTGGAGCCGGAGGCCACTGGGCTATGTGGGGTCGGGCTGGGCTGGGCTGGGCTGGGCTGGCTGCTCTGGGGGCCACGCTGCTCCGGGGCCGGTGGGTGGCCATGGGGAGGACCAGCACCTCCAGCAGGCGTCCTTGGCCCGGCCTGGCACCGGGCTGGGGGTCTTCCCTGCCGGTGTCCACTCCGCCCTCAGGGCGGCGCAGGGCAGCTCTCGGAAGCCAAAGCTTCTCACGGCGCGGGGGCTCCTCTTGGAGCGGGGATGGGGGCGGCAGTAAACGGAGGGTGAGCTGGGCCTCCTGCCCACAGAGAGGCAGGCAGCCGGGGCCCAGCGCCGGGGCCTGAAATTACAGGGCACGGGTGGGGTGCTGGGTCTGGATTCTGTTATGAAAATGAAACAAAATTGTTTTCTTTCTGAGTCTTTACAAAATCGCCGCTTTGAAAATGACCCCATCAGAGCGAGAATGAACGGCGTGTATCCACGCCGCCCCGGCCTCCCGGGCGGGCGCGCGCGCGCGTGCTGCGTGGAGCCAGCGGCTCTCCATTCGGGGCAAGTTTTGGGCAGACTTAAAAAGGTTTGCTTCTGCACTACCCAGCAGCCCCGCTGCGCGAGGCAGGGCTTGTAATTTGCAAAGAAAAATTACATGGAGACCCAGACCTGGGCCCCCGAGCCACCCCCCGCCCCCCGTGATGTCAGGCCCGCAGAGCGCGCCGCGGCCCAGCATCCACCGAGCGCAGACGCTCCCGAGCGGGATCCGGAAGGGCTGGGGCGTGGGGACTTCGCCCACATCTCAGGGATGGGGGGCTCCTGGTGGCGCGTGGGCAACGCCCTCCTCGCCGCGCCTCGCCCCTGCCTGTGGCTCCCGCGAGACTGACGCGCCCGCGTTTACATCTGTCCAAGGCCAGCCCCTCTCCCCCCACCTGCCTGTCTCTCCTCGAGGATGTGCGGGGGGCACGAGCTCCTGCGTCCGTCGTTGCATCGCTCCCTGCCCAGCGTGGCCCCTCCGGAGGCCCCTGACCCACCCAGGCCGGTCCTGCTGGAGCTGGTGGCCCACTCAGGCCCAGACCAGAAGCGGCTGGAACGTCTCCTCAACTCCAGACTGAGGCCTGGGGCCTGCAGCGTCGGCGTCTGTCCCTCACTGGTCAGGGTGTCACGGGACCTGCACCCTGGGTCCTGCAGGAGGGGGCGCCTGGCAGGTGGGGGCGCAGAGACCCTCCGGAGCACCTGGACAGAGGGTCTGTGGCCCTGGATGCTGGTTCCTTGGGCCTACACCAAGTCACATTCTGAGGCGAAACAGCAGAGTGGCCCTGCCCAGCCCGCAGCCTCAGGCAGGCGAGGGGTCTCCGGGCCTGCAGCTGCCGTCCGGGGCGCCACCGCCCCCCGCCCTCACCCCGTGTCTTCCTGGAGCGGCACAGAGCGCATGTCCCCATGATGGGACTGGCCCAGACTGGTTCCACTTAGCGGGCACGTCGGCGGGTAGCAGTGGAGTGTCTCGAAGACCAGAGCCAGGCTCCGAAAGTGGAACGTTCACGCAAGCGCGTTCTCCGGACATTTGGAAGCTATTTAAAGAACACAGAGGCTTGGTTGCTGAGGAGAACGGCCTTGAGGAATGACTCCCCAGGAAATGGCCGACCCCCCATGGACTTTAAATCATCTTGCTTTGAAGATGAAACATCAAGACTTCTCGAAAGGCCCCCCCAGTTCCCCGGGATTAGTGTCTTTGTCAGGTGCTGCCTGTCCGCAGGCCCCGCCCCGGTGCCGGGAGGCCGTGTGGAGACTTGGCAGGCCCCGGGGCGTCCCTGGTGGCCCCTCCGGCTGGCGTGGGGCTCCCTGCTAGTGAGGTCTCAGAAATAGGCAAGAAAACTTTTGCAGAAGCGTGTCCCTCTGCGTTTGCGCCAGGCACGTTCTGTTTCGGGATGAGCCGCCCAGCTCTGTGGGCGGAGCGGATGCCGGTCCCCCAGCGCGTCCCCGGCGGTCCCCCCAGGCCTGGCAGTGTTCTTGCCGCGTGTCTGGAGCGTCTCATTAAAGTCAGCACAGAATAAAGGCCTGACTCGGGGAGCCCTCTGCCGGTCAGCCTCACGCTCCTGCGCGCTGAGGGCAGCTCTTACCTTGGCTGCGGGGAGCCCGGGGGCTCAGCCTGGTGTCACAGCAAGGGAAGGAATGAGTCCTCAGGAGGGGCAAAGTGGCTGCATTTCACACCGGGGCGGTATTTTTGCCATGACTTCAAATAAAACCCACGCGGCTGTGGGCCAGCGTGTTCTAGAGGTGGAGACGGGCAGGTGAGGGCCTGGGGTCTGCAGACAGGAGGCTGCGGCCGGGCCGGGGCGCGGCCTCACCTGACCTGGCGTCTCTGCAGGTGGACAGCGACACCATATGGAACGAGGTGCACTCGTCGGGGGCGGCCCGTCTGGCCGTGGGCTGCGTGGTGGAGCTGGTGTTCAAGGTGGCCACGGGGGAGCTAAAGGTCAGTGAGGCCGTGGGCACAGGCCCCGAGGTCCGCGAGGAGTGGGGTGCTGGGATAGGAGACATGGCCTGTGCCTGGCGGGGGCCTGTTCACATGGAACCAGAAGGCTGCCCTTCCCCACGGCCCTTGGGGGTGCTGCCCTGTCTTCGGAGTTGCTGAAGAACCAGAGCTGTTGCCCGTGGGAGCCTCACGTCCACACTGCGGGTGGTCAGGCCTGCAGCGTGGCAGGCGACCGGGCAGCCAAAGAGGCCTGGGCATCCATGGTTTGTTTCCTGCCGTGTCCACTCCCCTGGGGTTGGATGCAGCAGGAGCTCACATTAAGGACAAATGCTGGTCCCTGCCCCCTCACGGCCCTCGGCCTAGGGGGCCTCTTCCCCGGGTGGGGGCGCAGGGGCTTCACGGCCAGCCCTGCCCCTCGCCCACCTCCAAGCGCGGGGACACGGTGTGGCGTGCCCTGGGGCGAGCCCTGCACCGTGTCGCGCCCCGTCTCAGTCTCCCCCTGACATAACCAGCCTTTCCCGTCTCTCCCCACCACCCGTGTCCGATAGAATGGCTTCGCCGTGGTCCGCCCCCCAGGACACCACGCGGAGGAGAGCACGCCCATGTGAGTGCCGGGCGGGGCGGGGCCTGGGGGGCCGGTGTGCGGCGGCTGCACGCGGGGTTGGTCCCGGGACCTGCTCTGGGCCTTCCTCTCCGGGTCACCTGGCCCCAGGTCGGCCGCACGCTCTGCTCTAGGGCCAGTCGCCGTGAGGAGGTGGCACAAACGGGCTGCGCGGGGCTATCCGCCGCGTCGTCTAGAGAACTTGCCTATTGTCAGGGTCGTCCAGAAACCTGGGAGAGGAAACTCGGGGGGTGGCCCCGGAACAAGTCAACGTGGCCCTTCCGCTGGGCACACGGAGGAGGGGGCACGGGCTCTGTGCCTGGGCCTCGTGGGAGGGGCCCCCCCGAGAGGCCCAGCTCACCTCCAGGCTCAGATGTTGCTGGGCAGAGTCAGGCGGGGTGAGGCTGTCGCTGCGACGAGGGGCCATCAGGCGGCAGAGCAGGGGCGCAGGCCGCTGCCGGGGAGGGAGAGCCAGGGACACAGATGGGTGGTGGGGCTGGGCCTCCATGTCTGGGCACAGGCTGCCCCAGAGCAGGCCCTCCCGAAGTGGACTGCAGGGGCGGGGGGCGGTTGGGGGCGGCAGTGGGCCTGAGGGGAGAGGGGAGGAGCCTCTGCCGTGACTGCAGGCGAAGGCTGGGCCTGGAGCTCCTGGGGCGCAGCCTGGCCCGTGGGGACTTCGGCTGCTTCTCCATCTCTGTGCTCCGCCTGCAGGGGCTTCTGCTACTTCAACTCCGTGGCCGTGGCCGCCAAGCTTCTCCAGCAGAGGCTGAACGTGGGCAAGACCCTCATAGTGGACTGGGTAAGTGGGCGACCGTGTGGAGGGGGTCATGGCCATTTCTGCTTCTGCTGACTTGCATTGGGGTGTTTGACTTTCTAGAAACTCTCTTGAAGATGCAGAAAAAAATGCGTAGTTTACAGCTTCAGTCCACCAGCCCAGCCAGCACCGAGGTCCCTTGCGGGCCTGAAAGCGTCGAGTCCAGGGTAGCTGCCGAGGCTGTCCTCGACGTGGCCTTGTTGGAGGGGGGTTCAGGGCGGGTTGTACCAGCCTGGGCTCCCAGTCTGAGAGCTGGGGTGTGCTGGCCAGATGTGTGCCTGCCGGCCCCCGGCAGAGGGTCTTTGTGCTAAAACAGAGCTGATCTGGCTGGGGGGGGGGGGTGCATGGAGGCTCCCCTCTCCCACAAGGCATCTTGACCCTCAGCAGGCGCTGGGAGCACATCTCGCCCCTGAGGCTGCCACCCTGGGCCCCTGCAGGCCACCCAGACTGCCCTGCACCCCAGGCACAAGCCTTGGGCCCAGGTCAGCCCACGCTTCTGACCAAGCAGCCTAGTTGGGGGGTCCAGGACCCCACCCCAGACTTGATGGGCCTGTCTGCAGCCCCAGGTCACTACCTGTGTTCCTGAAGGGCTGGTGCCACCCAGAGAGCCCCAGGGCCTCTGGCTCACTGGCTGGAAGGACTCCTTACAAGGGCCGCGAAGGAACAGGAAGCCAGCGCGGACAGGGGCGGGGCCTGTCTGCAGGAGCCCGGCTCCCAGGCCCTGCAAGGAAAGTCTGGGAGCCCCTCCGTTTGGGGTTCTGTGGGGGCCTCCTAGACACAGCTGACTGGGGGGGGCGGGGTACTGGCAACTGAGTTCAGCTTTCAGCCTCTCTACCCTGGGGTGGCGGGGAGGCTGGAAGGACCCCCCACTTCAGGTCGGTTTCCCTGGTAACCAGCCCAGCCCTCAGGTGTTCCCCACAGTCGCTTCATTAACATAACAAGAGACATCTTAGCGCCCGTTCTGGGCCATCCAAAGGCTTTAGGAGGAGCTGTGGGCCTGGAGGGGGTGCAGGCCAAGCATCTCCCCCAGTCATGGTCGTCCTCATGTCCCCCGCGGGTCGGCCGCTGTGAGCAGGCCTGGTGGCGCGGAGCCGAGTGCTCAAGGACTTTTTGATAAAATTTTTAAGGGATGTGGGGGTCTTCCAGGTGGGGTCCTGGCTTGCGTTGCAAAGTCCTCAGTTTGGAGAAAGAAAAACTAACCTGAGGCCTCCCCGGTGGCGCAGCGGTTGAGCGCTGGGTTGCGAAGCTGCCCGCAGCCTCTGCGGCGCCGGTTCCATCCCCGGCTGCTCCCCGGCCACCGGAGGAGGGTCCCACATGGCGCGCAGACCTCTCCTGCCGCCCGCTGCTCCCCTCAGCAGTGTCCTTCGGTCCCTCTGCCTGCTCTGCGCCCCGCTCTGGCTCTGGTGAATTCTCTCACCCTCCCGCGCTTCTGACAGTGCTTGTGTAAATAAATAAACAAATCTTAAAAAAAAAGAAAAGAAAAACTAACCTGGGGTTAGTTAGGCCCCCTCCCCTTCCACAGCCTCTCCTGTGCCCTCAGCAGCGCCTCATGGGTGGGCGGGAGCATAGTACCCCCACCCCCCGCTGCCTCTGGGGCAGCATCCCAGCCCTGCTGTGGCCCTGCTGTCCGCGCCCGGCTGTGTGGCCTGAACTTCCCTGGACTTCCCCCACCCCCACCCCTGTCCCCCCGCAACCCCGCGCTGAGCCCCGCCCTCCCCCTAGGACGTGCACCACGGGAACGGGACCCAACAGGCCTTCTACGGGGACCCCAGCGTGCTGTACGTGTCCCTGCACCGCTACGACGACGGCAACTTCTTCCCTGGCAGCGGGGCCCCTGATGAGGTGAGGGAGCAGCAGGCCCGGGAGTGGGTGGTGGGGGAGCCTGCCTCCTCCAGGAAGGCTGCCTGGGGCGGTGAATATGCACCTTGGGGGCTTTCTAGACCAGGCCTCTGTGGGCTCCCGGGGTAGACACTTCTGCCCCCTCCACCCGTGCACCCGCTGCAGACCCCTGCGCCCACAGCACTGCCCGCAGGCTGGGACAGCAGGACCCGGGAGGGGGGTCTTCACCACAGGGTCTCCCCAGCCCGGTGGGAAGAAGCCGGCCATCGCCGGGTTTCCAGTGTCCACGCATGGGCAGGGCTGGCCTGGCCCCCAGGGCTCGCAGGTCAGAAGGACAAGACCCTGCGTTCCGTGAAGACGCTCATGGCTGTAGCCCCGCAGCAGCGACTGCCGAGCACTGGCCTGAGGGGGCTCCCGGCGGCCCCGGGTCTGAGGGCGCGTGTTTCTCGTGCAGGTGGGCACGGGGCCGGGCGTGGGCTTCAACGTCAACATGGCTTTCACCGGTGGCCTCGACCCCCCCATGGGAGACGCAGAATACTTGGCGGCCTTCAGGTGAGTGGCCCAGGCCCTCTCCCGCGGCCTGGGTCTTGTGCTCGCTCCTGGCGGGGGGCCCTCCGGAGCCCCGGGGACCTCTCCTGGAGGCCTCGCAAAGTCGCGTCAAAGTGCGGCCCCTAGCGTCGCAGGCCCGTTGGCCTCCCACTGCCCTTGGGCGGGAGGCGGGGAGAGAGAAAGTCCTGCCCCCTCGGTGTGGGCGGTGCCCACCCTGGGCCCACAGGCGGCTTCCTGCACGGGCTGGTCATCGCCTGCCTTTCAGCCTTGCTCGGGCCTTCGGAATGGTCCCTGCAGAGGGGCGCCCGGCGGGGCTTCCTGCTGCTTAGAAGCCAGCCCCTCATCCCGGGGGGCGGAGCTGCGAGGGCGCCCACCCCGGGCCCTGCCCCACGGCCCGCGTCAGAAAGCGCTGGGTGCGCTGGGCTGGAGCTCTGAGAAGGCCGGGGCGGTCTCTGCCTGCCCCTGCCTCTGCTCTCCGCCCATGGGTGCACGCGGCGTGCGGGCCTTGAGCACCCGCGGTGCGGCCACGCTCCTGCACATTCTCTGCACACGTCTCCAGCAGCAAACGTCCAGGGCCCTCAGCGGCGCGCACCGGGCTGGGCTCACCTGACCCCTTACTGCATCCACTCGCTCACCTGGGCGCGGGAGCAGGGTCCTGGTCCCCGCCCTCAAAACGTGCGGGCAGGTGATGTCGGAGTCTGGCCCCACGGCCGCCAGCATGGCGACCTCCAGTCTTCCCGAATCTGCTCCTCCAGGCTCGCTGACCACGTCCCCTTGTCTGTCCTGACACTGACCCGCTTTCCAGGATAGTGACCCCCACACAGCTCCACTGTGAGGGCACGGGCAGACGGCTGCCCTGGGAGCCGGCCTCAGCAGCGGGGTGTCCTGCCTGTCGGGGGCGGCCCTGGCATCTCTCTGCTCCCTGCCCGAAGCCCTCGCGTCCACAATCTGGGCACACGGTGGACCAGCTCGCCCACAGGAGGCCCGGGGCCGGTCTGGACTGACAGGCGGCGCAGGCGTGAGGGGAGGCTGTCTCGGATCGCTGCCTCGCGGCCGGGCCGGCTCAGGGTGAGCTGCGAGAGGAGCCGCTTCTGGCCGCTCTGGCTGCTCCTGACATCCGGCTTCACCCTCCCGCCGAGCGCGCCTGCTGCCTCATGTGGTGAGCCGGCAGGGCCCACGGAGCTGCTTTGAAAAGGAAAATCGTTTCAGGGTTGTTTTTTTTATTGATTTTAATGTGAAAATAGCACTTTGAAGTTGACAATTTACGGCTCCCAGGGCATCGATGGAGAGGAGCGGCCCGGCCCCCTCTTCCGCCCCGGCCCCCGGGGACGGGCAGCCGTTGAGCAGCACCTCGTGGCCAGGCCGTCACCGCCACCTCGGTTTCAGGAGATCAAGCTGCAGAGATAAGAGAATCGGCCTAATGCAGTCCAGAGCGCGGCCCTGCTCCCGACTGCAGGCGGGCGAGAGGGGCCTTAATTCAAACCAGTCTCGGCCAAGCCGCCTTTGAAGTCTGCAGCCGAGCGGCGGCTGGGCAGCGCCCTCACCCTCCGTCACCTGCGTCCGCCCGCGGCAGCTCGGGGAGGGAGCTGGGGGACTTGCTGGTCAGTTCGCGCAGGCGAAAATGCTCTTGTTCATGAAGCCCTCGGGGCTGGGGGGCTGGGCCTTCCCCGGCAGCTGCGAGGGGCTGCGCCTGCCTCAGGGCCCCGCCAGTGGCTCTCACGGCAGCTCCAGGCCTTCGCCCATGCCCTGGGGTGTGCTGTGGCGCGGCCTGGTGTGCACTCGGGTGACCTTGTCGTCTGGAGGCCGCCGGGACCACGCGGCGGCTCTGACCGTCCAGGACGCTGTCGACCCGGATACCCCGTCGGCCCGGCAGGGGCTGGCTTCACTGCGACTGTCTGAGCAGGAGCGAAGCCAGAAGCCAGTTGGCGCTGGGTGGGCAGGGCGGGCGTCCACCCCGAGGGCTGTGAGCACTGCGCGGCTGAGTCCTGACATGGGCCCCTCTCGGGTTGGGCGAGGGGGGTGTGGCCAGGCCCCGCAGTGGCCTTCGTCCTTGTGGCTGTGGACCTGGGCCCTGGCGGGTGGACCCAATGGAGCCGGGGCGTGGGCGGGAGCGGGTTGGCCCAGAGTGGGCCTCATGGCCAGTGTGGCCGCAGGTGGGCTGGGCCAGCACCCCACAGGTGCTCGGGGAGAAGCTGCAGGGGCCCCGCTAGCTCGCAGTCAGGAGGCCACTGGCCGCCAGGAAGATGGAGTCCCGCAGGAGGCGGCCCCCGCAGGCCCAGGCCAGCCTCGGCGCAGGAGGTGGGGGGCAGCCCGAGGTTGTATGGAGGGGCCCCCATGCAGTCATGCACCAGCCCGGCACCCCCATCCGTGGGCCTGGGCAGCCGCAGCAGGCATCGACCTGGCGCTTCATTCCCAGGGGCACATGAGCAGGCAGGGGTCTGGAGCGCTGGGGGAACAGGCGCCCTGGGAAGGTGCCCCTCCCGGAGGCTGCAGGCAGGAGGGTCTGAGGGAGCACCGTGCTCCGAGAGCCTGAAAAGGAGGCCTGAGAGGCCGCGCGAGCCGGAAGCGCAGCCACAGCCACACAGGGCCTCGGGCCCTCCCGCCCGCGAAGCCGTGGGCTGAGGGTCCCTCCGACACGCAGGTGCTGGGGAGGCGGAGGGCGTGGTCAGCCCAGGGCAGCCAGCCCGTGAAGGGGGCGTGTGGACCCGCAGTGCTGAGGCTCGCGGCACCGGGGCCCTGTCGTCGGGCGCAAGCCTGACCCGGAAGGCGGCACGAACCGGCGCCGGCCGGGAAGCGGGGATGGGCAGCGGGTCCGTGTGGCCGGCGCCTCTGGGGCTCGTGGGCCAGAAGGAGCAGGGCACCCGCTGTGTGCCTTCTGGACGGAGTTTCCCGGGGCACAGCGACGCCGCGGGCCGGCCAGCCGTGCGCACCCTGGCCAGGCCAACCCGCCTCCCAGAGCTCGGGAGAGAAGGCCGGGCGCTGTGTGCGCGGCAGCCTGGCCTCGGGGACGCCCGCCGGAGGTTCCAGAAATGGGGCTCTCGCTGGGGAAGACGTTTGTTTCCTGCGTCCCAGTGGGCGCCTGCGGGCCGGCTTACCTGCTGGCGTACCGGCGCAGCCGCACGGGCCCTGGCGGCTCCCAGGGGCCCTCTGAACTGGGTGAAGGGAATGGCGATTCGGGCCGGTTGGCGTGGCCCCGGGGTGCAGGTGGCAGCTGTGGGAACCGAGCGGCCCGCGTGGGGGCAGGAGTGTGGTTGAGGCCAGGGGGCTGCCCGCCTGCGGGGAGGCGGCAAAGCAGGACCCCTCCCGGGACTCGGGCCGGCCGCTCGGCGCGGGGGAGCCTGCGGTGAGGCTTCTGCGGAGCGGGCGCACAGCTGCACCGGCGCCAGGCATGGGGCCCGGTCATCCGGGAAAGGGCCGACTCGGCTGCCACCCCCGCTGGCCGGGGCCATAGGCCCTGCCCCCTGGTGTCACCGCTGGGTGCCGGGCGGGTCCCTGCTCTTCAGACGGGTGATCTCCGGTCTCCCTGAGGGGACTGGCTGGGCCCGTGCCGGCTCCCCAGGCCCCTCTGGAGGCCCAGTATCCCCTCTCTGTCTTGCAGGACAGTGGTCATGCCAATAGCCAGTGAGTTCGCCCCGGATGTGGTGCTGGTCTCCTCGGGCTTCGACGCGGTGGAGGGCCACCCCGCGCCCCTCGGCGGCTACCACCTCTCTGCCAAGTGTGAGTCAGCGTCGGGCCCGTCTGCACGGCCGCCCTGCAGCCAGGCGCCCTGCAGCCAGGCGCCCTACAGCACGTGCTCCCCTCACGTCTCCCCATCCCCTGAAGGTGCTGGGAGCTGGGGTCGCCTAGAGGCGGGGCCCCTGGAGGGCATGCTGGCCAGTGTGGTGGTGCAGCCCCGGCTGCCTGCTGCTGCCCCGTGGCCCCCCGAGGGCACCCGCCACGATCAGGTGCCGGCCTCTGCGGGGCCGGTAAGCAGCGCTGGAGGCCGCTGGGACTTCGGGGGCTCAGGAGAGCCTGAGTCAGCCCCCCGGGTGCCGTGGCTGCTGCTGCCCTGCCTCAGCGCCTGGGGCCACAGGAAGGCCCTGCGCCTGACCCAAGGCCCTCAGTGTGGTCTGCACACCCTGCAAGGCCTCGTCCTGGAGAAGATGCGGGCGGCCGAGGAGGGCAGTGCCCTCACCCCAGAGAGCGAGCCCCGCCAGAGCAGAAAAGTCGGCCCAGCGGTGGCCGCGGGACGGCCGTGCCCGTGCCAGGCTCTCAGAACCCACTGCCCTGGGTGTGGGGCCTCATAGCCCATGAAGTGACCGCCAGAGGATGGAGCATGACCGCCGGCCTGACGCCATCGCTTGCATCCATCACACAGGGCTGCTGGTGGCCAGCCGAGAGGGGGCTGCAGCCCGTGTGGCACATACGTCTCTGGGTCAACTATTCCGGCAGAGGTGGCGGTGCTGGTGACCCAGTGGCCAGCACCTGGGCGTGAGGGCACCACGGGCATCAGGAGAGCCAGGCGCCGCAGCTGTGGACGGGCACGCACCTGTGCCCAGCCCTCTAGGGTGGAAGTGGCTGAGCCCTAGCAGCCTCGGGTGGGCCCCGGCTCCAGCCTCCTTGGCCTCTGGCCTCAGTGCAAGGGGCAGGGCCATGCTTTGGGCCCCGCCATGATGAAACCAAAGCACCGCAGCCGTCTCCACTGTTCTCGGGCAGCAGGGGCCCGCAGAGGCCTGGCCGGTCTGTACTCGGGCCAGCTTCTCTCAGTGCTTGGTGCCAGCCTGGAGCTCTGGGTGGCTGTAGGGCCTTGGGCGCTGGCCGCTGACCCTCACTTCCTCCCGCCCCCGCAGGTTTCGGGTACCTGACGAAGCAGCTGATGGGCCTGGCCGGCGGCCGCGTCGTGCTGGCTCTGGAGGGCGGCCACGACCTCACGGCCATCTGCGACGCCTCAGAGGCCTGCGTCTCTGCGCTGCTGGGGGTTGAGGTAGGAGTGGGGCGGCCGGCCAGGCGGGAGTCTCTCCTCGGCACCCCCTTCACAGGAGTGCCCAAACTGCCCGGTCAGGGCCCCTCCCTCAGGGAGACACTTCGGCACCTGGCTTCGCGGATACTGACCTTCTATGAGGGTCACGTGAGTGTCCGGGGTTCTGAACCACTGTCTCGGGGCATGGGTGGCCGAGTTGGGGCCGGGCCGTGTGGCCTGCGGGTCCCTGTACCCCTCCTGTGTAGCACCCCTGTGGCTCAGGACCAGCCGGGGTCTTCTCTGGCCTGTACAGTTTGGGCTCGGGCTGGACTGCCCGGGAGCTTTTGTGGGTACAGGGGAGAGGAGACCTGGGCCGTCCATTCCACGTGCCCTGGGCCCACCTCCGGCTGCTGTGCGGGGGGAGCCAGGGGCCTGCAGGCAGGAGGTGCCAGGGTGGCAGGGAGGTGCCCAGACGGCCCGCAGGGGAGACTGGTTTGTGGCTCCTGTTTGGAATTTCCAGAGTTTCCCGAAACTCACTCCGCCAGGCACAGTGGGCATGGCTGCCCAGCCGTCCCCGGGCCTGCTCCTCCTGTGGCTCTCAGTGGCTTCCCACGGGCCCAGGAACCCGCTGGCGTGCAGGGGTGGGGGATCTGTGTCGCGGGTGGCGACAGCCGGTTGGGAGGTGGGCGCCCAGGCCGTGAGGAGCACAGTGGGCACTGCCCTCCTGCCAGTCACCACCTGTGGTGTGGGGTGAGGGTCGGAATCCGCAGGACCTCCTGCGTGAGCCCCGACGTCCAAGGGAGAAGCGGGGAGGGCAGGAGGACTCCAGAAGCCACATGGGGCAGCTCGGGCCTGGGATCTGGAGGGACCAGGCACCTGCTGGCTGGCCTGGGGTGAGGGACCCCTCCCCTGACCCCGCTGAGGCATTGGGGCACAGTGGCCCAGGGGGCTGCCCACGAATGGTGCTGGGGCCCTGTGACCTCTGGCCCCACGCTCCACGCCTGCCTGCACCCACTCCGGGCCGCTGAGGATCTCCGTGCTGCGGGCCTCAGGCATTCGAGGAGGGCGTGTGAAGCCGCCGTCAGGGAGCCCACAAAGCCGCTCATCGGGCCGGCTGCGTGCAAGCCTGGGCGGAGCATGGCCGAGAGGGCTCCGGTGAGGTGCCGGGGCTCCCTACAACTTGGGGCACCAGCAGGGGTGCATGCTGAGTGTGCAACAGCAGAGGGCCCTGGAGGCCCAAGCCCCAGCAGTGGCCGTGCAAGCTGAGGGCCAGCAGAGGCCGCTCGGCCAGTGAGAGGGTCTGGGCCTGGCGGTCTACACCCGGCGGCCTTCCTGGGGTCTGGAGGGTCAGGAGTGGACCCTCCCTGATGCGGTGGCCCCTGGTGGCCTCAGCCTTTCTGCTCACCGGCCTTCTCTCTCCCTCTGTGGAGCTAAAAGGTGTCTGGTTTCTTTGGGCACCTTCCTGAGACTTCGGGGCTCTGCGCTTTAAAATAACCCTAGAGGACTGAGCTTTGAGCACAGCCTCTCCTGGCTTCCGGGGCTTCTGCTGTTCAAACAGGACGCCCCCTTTGACGTAGACACGTCAGCCGGCTGGAAGCCAGGATTTGTCAAGGTCTCCATCTCCTGGTGCTGAGAGGGTGGCCGGCGCCCCTGCCTCTGCCTGGGGGCCTTGGATCAGGGGGCCTGGGGGCTGGAGGCGGGAGAGGGTGGGCAGGACGTGGGGGGTCCAGAAGGGCTGGGGTGTAGGAGCACGAGCGGCCCCCAGGATGCTCGCGGGAGCTCCACTGTGGAGCCTTGGCCTTGCTCCTCGTGGCCGAGGCGCCGGCTCATGGGCCTCACGGGTGTCGGCCCCAGGGGCTCGGGCCTCGCGCCCCATCTGCGGGGGCCGCTGCCACGCCAGGTGGGAGAGGCCGGGTCTCCGAGGCGCCCACAGCACCAGGGGCCAGGGCTGCCGCCTCCTCGGGTGTGGCGGGGCCGCGCCCCAGTGACCGCGTGCGGCGCCCGGGGCGCTGGGGAGGACGCGGTCGGGTGAGCCACGTGTTGGGGCTGCTCCAGCCCGGCCGCCGTGCGTCTTCTGGCCCAAGCGGGGACCGGGAGGCTCCCTCGGGCGCGGCCGGCCGTGCGGAGTCTGTGTGGGCGCGTGGCGGGGCTCGGGTGCCTTCAGCGTCCTCTCTTCTCGGCGCTGGTCCCCTCTGTCCGCGCGGCTTCGCGCAGGGGCATCTGCTCTCCCGGCACCTGCCCGTGGGCGCCCTGGGCGGTCGGCGTCACCTGGCCCTTGTCCCAGCCGTGTTTTCCTTCCCCGGGGTCCCTGCAGCGTCCAGCCCCACGCTGGGGATCGGCACCCGCGGGCGGGCGGGGCGGCATGTCCTTGGCCCGGAGCCGCGGCCGTCGCGTGTCCCCTGCGCCGTGGAAGTTGGAGCCTGCCTGCCCCTGCCCCGCCCTCACCGGCGGCCGTGCCCCCATCTGGCTGTGGGGCCGCCCCCCAACCCCACGGCGCTGCCCTGTCTGCCGCTGTCCTTGGCCTCCCTGGCTCCTGCGGGCCGAGCCCCCTCGTCCGCCTGTTCCCCCGAGCAAGCGGCAGGCTCTGCGGCCCACGGCCTCTGCGGTGGGGGCTCTCGCGCTGCGGGCCGCCCAGCCGCGTCGGGTCTCCGGTTCCAGGCCAGGCGCCCGTGGGCTGTGCCCGCGCCCTGTGCGCCCCCGGCCTCGCCCGGCCTCCCCGCGTCTGCACCTCACAGCTCACGTGGCCTCTCGGCCGCTGTGCCCCGCCCCCCGCCCCGCCGTGCCCCGGCAGGGGTGACCCCGCGCCCCCGGTCACTGCCGCCTCCTCTTCCAGCTGGACCCGCTCCCGGAGAAGGTGCTGCAGCAGCGCCCCAACGCCAACGCCGTCCGGTCCATGGAGAAGGTCATCGAGATCCACAGTGCGTTGCCGGGGCCCGGGGCCCCCGGGGGGGTCAGCGAGGGGCCAGCGAGGGGGCAGTGAGGGGGGCAGCGAGGTGACCGCCACCCCAGGCTCCTCCTCAAGCTGCTGCTTCCAGGCCCTCGGGACAAGCGCGTGATGCGCTGGCAGCGGCCCCCCTGGTTCCCGCCTGCTGAGGGGGAGGGTCGGCCGCAGTGGCAGGTCCAAATTATTGGGGCTCCAGGTCCCTGTGGGTCCCCCGCCCCAGGGCCCCCTGCACAGGGTGGTCCTGGTGCGACTCTTCCCGGACCAAAACATCCCCTTCTGCTGCTGGGGCCACCCCACCGTGCAGAGACGTGGGTGCAGGCCCCCCACTTCCCAGCACTCCCTCAAGCCGCGGGTCCTGCAGGCCCCGGGGGCTGCACACTGACCCAGGCGTCCCCGTCACAGAGCTGAGTGCCTGTGGCCGCGGGGTGACCCAGCCCCCTGCAGCCGTCTGTAAGGGGGGTCTGCCTGCCCTGCCCAGGCCTGGCTGTGACCTCAGCGCTACCCCCGCTGACTCCGTGAGAAGCCCCATGGCAGGAGACCCCTCACGTGGCCAGGCCCGGCCTGGAGGGTCCCTCTGGAGACCCCCAATGACACTGCCCCCTGTTCACCGGCTCCCAGGGTCGGCCTGGCTCGCCCAGCACCCCTCGGGGGAGGGGGTGGGGTGCTGAGTGGCCCCGGGGCCCCCAGCCCGGTGGCTGCACGGCCCGAGCCCCAGCCCTGAGAGCGTGGATGAGCCGGCGGCGGCGGTCAGGCGGCGCGGGCTGACGAGGCTGTCCCGCAGGCCAGTACTGGCGCTCCCTGCAGCGCTTGTCCTCCACGGTGGGCTCCGCCCTGGTCGAGGCCCAGAAGTGTGAGAACGAGGAGGCCGAGACGGTCACCGCCATGGCCTCGCTGTCCGTGGGCGTGAAGTCTGCCGAGAAGAGGTGAGCCCCGGCCTGGGCCGGCCCCACCGGGGGAGGGGCAGGACAGATGTCCCCCAACCCCAGAACCGGGCGCCCCGAGAGATGTGGACATCCACCTGAGCGGGCGGCTCGACACCCGCCTTTGGGTCAGGCCGCCCCGGGTGGCGCGGGGGCTGTGGAGGGGCAGCCCAGAGGTGGGTGGGGCCCCACGTGTGCCCCAACCCTAACGTCCTCCTTTCCCCCCCACCCTTGTCCCCCCACCACCCCCCCGCCCCCCAGAGCCGAGGAGGAGCCCATGGAGGAGGAGCCGCCCCTGTAGCCCTCCTGGAGCGCGTTCTCTTGTCTGTCTGTCTGTCTTGAAGCTCAGCCGAGAAACGTCCTGCCGCTCTGCGTCCTGCCGGCCGTGCCGTCTCTGGACGCGGCCTCAGGGGGAGGCAGGGCAGGGCTCTGCAGACCCGGGGCGGCGCGCGGCCCCCCAGACCCGGGGCGGCGCGGGCGAGTGGACAGACGCGCGCCCGGATGCGGGGCACCCGCGGCCTCCTGGGCAGCTGCCGGTCGCGTGGACACGAGGGAAGGAAATCAGAGATCTGGCGACACGAACTGACTCGACTAAAACTGGTGCTGACCGTTGATTCTGACCCACGATTCCAGTCTCCGCGTAAACCACTCAGCTCACCTGGTAGCTTCCCTTTTTGAAAGAGGACGTTTTCTGGGGCGCCGGCCTGGCCCGTGCACCGGGCGGCGGGGCTCGCCGCGGCGGGGGACACGCGGCCGAACATTTAAAGAAAACTGGACCGACCCCGAGGCGGGAGCCGCGGGCGTTGCGGGGTTTCCTCGAAGCCATCGGGAGACGCGAGTTTGTGCCTTTTTTTATTGCTCTGATGGATTTTTGTGGCGGGTTTTCTGCAGCCTGAGGGACGATGCCTTAAGAGCCGCCGGGCAGGGGAGCGGGCGCGCGTCCTGGCGGGCGGCGGGCAGGCCCCGCCCGCAGCCGGCTCCGCTGCGCTGCTGGTGAGGGAAGAGGAGGGGCTCCCCAGAGGGGCGGGAGCCGCTGGGGCTTCGGCTGACGTGTTATGGGAATCCAAAGTGCTCTTTCTCGCGGGCCGCCCGCCCAGCCCCGCCCGCCCGCCCGCGGAGCGCCGACGCTTTTCATTCAAAGCAGGTAGCATGGAGTATTGCTTAAGTCTTAGGTATAAATAGATATATATATGTATAATATATATTCCAACGTATTCCGAGCTAAGAAACTTGATACTTAGGAAATCTTGATGAAATATTTATAATGCACTTACAGAAAAGTATATCTCTAGCTCTCTATGATGAATGCAGATTGTAGAGGCCCTGGGTGGCTGGCGGGTCACGCACAGGTGCTTCTGGAAGGGCCTCCAGCCGGCCGGCCCCTGCCCGGCCCGGCGCCCGCACACTGGCCCGGCCGCCCCCGCGCGTCTGTGCTTCGGTTTTCCTTGGTTTCGAGCGCGGTGCCGCCCGCCTCGCCGCCCGCGCCGGGTGAGTTTTTCTAGCAAAGATTCTAAATTTGCTGTTGATTTTTTTTTCTTTTGTATGAATTTTTCACAGACACGTTTCCGAATAAGCCTTGTTTTGTGAATTTTACGTTTTTTCTCTCCCTTTAGCGGTTTTCTGGACGGACGTAATGGTGAAGCCTCTTTCCTGCCTACACTTGGGCTTAGCTACCATTTTTAACTGTTAGAGGTTTTTTTACTCTTTTCTTTTTGTTTATTTTTGTACAGTGAGCCTTTTCCTGCGGCTTCCAGAGCTGTTGCCACGAGTTTATTTCGCCCAAGCAAGGGCCCCCCGTGGCGTCCACCCGGCTCTGGGCGCAGGGCCAGCCCCCAGGCAGCAGGGCCCTCCCCGCCGGGTGCTCGGCAGTCGGGACGCACGTGTCCAGGCTCCGCTGGCCACGGGTCGGGACGGGACTTTAGCTTCGGTTTTCCAAAGACCTTTCGGCCACCGGCAGCGGGGTGCTGGGGTCTCCCCTGAAGCCATGGGACCGGGCCGTGGCGGGAGCCGCAGGCCACCTGGGGGGACCGTGCTTTTCACTGGTTCCCGCCGCCTGAGGCCGCTATGCGCCCAGCGTGACCCTGAGCAACTCTCACCGCCCCCAGGGGAACCCAGGCCAGGTTCCGAGCTGGGCGACACTTGTGGGGGGGCCGCTGAAAGAGACGATGACGCAGCTGGCCTCCCCCGGTGAGTCCAAACGTGGTCGCCGGCACATGGGGGTCAGCTCTGGGTCGTGGTTGGACGGGAAGGCCCAGGGTGCTTGACCCCCTCCACCCCACTGACCACTCAGCTCGGGAGCCCAGCTTTAAGGGAGCTGCTGTGGGGCCACGGGCGGCCCGCGTGGCCCAGGGCTCGGAGGGCTCAGTGGCCACTGCCTGCCTTCACGGCCGGGCCTCTGCGTGTTCTGCCCAGCGGCGGCTCCGGCCCGGGGACCAGGTCACCTCATGCTTTTGCTTTTGCAGATGAGGGGCCACGGCCGACTGGGGCGGGGTTGCCCAGGGGTGAGGGGGCGCTGGCCAATGCTGTTTGTCAGCCCCTCAGCTGACAGGCCCGCCGGGCGCCACCCCAGCACGGAGATGTTACCCTTCTAGCCTTTTCTTTGAAGACACCTCTGGCCAGGGTGGACGGCGGAGGCCTGCCCCAGGGAGGACACCCCCCGCCGGGGCCTGGGGCCTTGGGCCTCTTTTTTTCCTTTTCAGAGGCCTTGGGGCCCTGGCCGGGGTCAGCAAGTGAGCACTTTAGCCTCTGCGGGAGCGCGAGGAGGCCGCGGGCACGTGGGGCCCCGGCTTCGCAGCCACGCCCTGGCCCCCCCAGCGGGCCGGGCTCTCGGGCTGGCCACCCTCACAGTGTTCGGCTTTTCTTTCCTTTCAGAGACCCGCTCGCGGGGGCCGTGGGCGGCTGCGGCTTCCACAACATTCCTGTGCGCTGGCCGGCCGCGAGCCCATTCCACTCTTGTTTTTGTAGACTTTTGGGCCCGCGCGTTTCCCGGGCTTTGATACATATATAAATATATATATAAATATATATGAATCTATTTTTTTAAGTTTCCTACGCGGAGGTTGCATGGCCTGTGGGACGGCATGTCTTTGCGCCGCGTGACGCACCAGCGCGGCGGGGGCGCCTCCGGCCCCTTCCGAGAACGGGGATTTTTCTGTAAAACGGCCTGGAGGAGGGGGGCGTTTGCGCCGTCTTGGACTTATTCTTAAGAAATTGTACTTTTTATTGTAAGGAAAATAAAAAGGACTACTTACACATTTGTCATATTAAGAAAAAAGTTTATCTAGCATTTGTGACCTACCAATACTAGAGTTTACTGTATTTATGTGGAAACAGTGTTTTAGGGGAGCTCCGCAGAATTCGGGGTGAGCTGCCTGTCCAGAGAATCGGAGGTTCGGTTTGGTTTCGCGGGCTCATCTCCCCGCGGGCCTGCTCGGGCCTGCTCGGCCCCCCTGGGGTCGCGGCGCTGCGGGGGGCCCTGCTCCCACGCCGGGCGGGGCTTTGCTCGCCTTGTCTGACCTGATTAAACGTCTCCTGTTGAACAAAAGAGTGGACGGTCTGTTTTCTGGGTGCACGGGCTCCGCAGTGGGGCCAGCGGGCGGGTGTCGGGCTCTGGGGTGCGGTGGGCCCCTCACGCAGCCTGTCTCAGAGTGAGCAAGGCTGAGGTACCCAGCTTTGCCTCCGCCCGGGCCACCTCACCCACACTTCTGGGGCCCCAGACCCCAGTCGTGGGCGGGGGCGCCTCAAGCTGAGGGGTGGCCCAGGGACCTGGACCCACGTGCCATGATGTAAGCCCCGGTGCTGCTGCCCTCCCATCACCCTCCACCGCTTGCCAGCCCCACACCTTGGGCTAAGGGATGGGGGTGGGGTGGGGCCTCAAAGGGCCGCCCAGGCCACACCCCACCGGGTGGGGGACTCCACAGCGCTTTGTCCCGCTCTGCCCCTCGCCCACTGCCCCCCTGGGCGCGCCTGATCGGCCTCGTGAGCCACCCCCATCTCCCTGCCTGCTTCCTGGGCCCTTGGGTCCCCGCCGCACTGGGCCCTTGGGTCCCCTCAGCTGGGCCCTGGAGTGAGACGTGTGGCCCAGCCACGCTGGTGACCCCCGGAAGTGTCCAGTCCCTGCAGCCTGGAGGCGGGCTGGGCGCTCAGTGTCCAGTGCCAGCCTCCTCGGGCTCAGGACGGTACGTGGCGTGCAGCTGCACCCCGGCCAGAGGCTCTGCGGCGGGACCCTGGTGCCCGGAGCCACCCAGAGGGGCAGGCCATTGCCCCAGCAGCCCAGCGTCCCCCTCAGCCAGCGGGGAGCAGGCTGCGCCCCGGGCGGTCAGGCGTCCTTGCGCACACCCCGCGTGAGCCCCGTGGACGGCCGTGCTGGGCAGGGAGAGTCACAGCAGCTGTCCCTGCCCAGGAGGCGACTCGAGGCAGGTTTGCTCCTTCCACCGTGAGCCTCAAGTAACTTGGGGTCTCGGTCTCCCCTTCTTTTAATGGAGAAATACAAAGGTAAGAGACAGGACAGTGCTGGATGCCACGTGACCCGCAGCCCCCCACCCAGACCCCGCACGGCTGGAGCAGCAGCCCCCAGGAGGGGATGAGGGCGTGGCGGACCCCTAAATAAGCCAGACATGAGGGAAGGGAGCAGCCCCCCGGGGGACGGCCCGCCCCGGCTCGCCTGAGGACGGGTGTACGCTCCCGCCTGTGGGGCGCCAGGTACAGAGGGGTGAGCGGGGGGCGGCCGCCTTGCCCGGCTCTCTCTGCTCTGGGCCGGTTCGAGCCAGTGAAGCGGAAATAAGTCGTCGCCAAGGAAGGAAGATCCTCGGTGCAGGACGGACTCGGAAAACCCGGCGCCGGCGCTCGCCCAGAGGCCACAACGCGCGCGGGCGCCAGTCCCCCCAGCACCGGCCCCCGGCACCATCCGCCCAACACACACTCCACACACACACGCTCCACACACACACCCACACACACGCCCCCCACACGCACACATACTTGTTTGTACTCGGTGTCAGCAGAGAGAACACGTGGGGAGCAGGCGCGAACCCCAGCCTCTGGGCCTGGCGGGTGGACGGGCCCCTCACGCAGTCACGGGGCAGGGGCTGTGGCCTGCGGGACGAGGCCAGGTCCTGGGTGGTCCGAGGCTGCTGCACTGAGTCGCTGGGCAGTGAGCCCCGCGGCCCTGACGCCCCACGTCCCCGACACCCCACGTCCCCAGGGCCCCCTTGCCTGCAGCGCGCCCTGCGGAGACCCCGCCGCGTGGCGGGCCTGTCTGTTGGTCCCTCCGAGGCCCGGGTCAACGCGCCGGGAAGGAGGCACGTGGGGAGCAGCCGTCGGCCTTAGGGAGACGGCCGGGGCCTCGCGGGAAGGGGTGGCAGGAAAGGACCCCGGATGGCGTCCAGGGGATAAGCGAGGCCCGCCGCCCGCTGGAGGACACGCGGGCCCCTGGGTCCGGTCGTGCAAACACGGGCGCCGCGAGAACACCCCCACGCGGTGACGGCCCGGCCGGCGGCCGGGGTCGGGCTGGGCTGGGGCTGACCCGGGGCTGACCCTGGCAGCCTCACGCGCGGGTCAGAGCGTTTCCACTCCTGCCGCCGCCCACTGTTCTCCGCAGCGCACCCCGCCGGGGCGTCTCACGGGGGGGGGGGGGGGGGGGGGGTGCGGGGTTCACTCGAAGGCACCTGCCCAGACGGGCTGCGGGCTCGGCCACGCTCAGGTTCGGCGCCAGGCGCAGGCGCTGCTGGTCAGCAGCGGCCGGGTCCCGCTCGGAGCTTTTCTGGGGGTCGTTGTGGGTTGGGAGTGGTGCTCCTGGGGCCGGGGTACATCGGGTCTCAGACAGGAGGAGGGACCGGCCCGGGGCCCCAGCCACACCCCGCTTCCAGCCCGGGCACCCGGTGCAGGAGGAACTGGGCAGGGGCTGGCCCCAGAGGCCACGCTGCCCGTCCATCTCCTCCAGCATCTAGCCGGG